GCCTTTCCTCGCTTATATATGATATGAACCGACGAACTTTGGGAATATGTTTTTCTATTCTCTTCTTGAATTTTTAGAACGTTTTTCCTTGCTTCCTTCCTCTCTCATATATTCTCGATCTTTCATCATAATATTTTTTTCTTCTTCTTCGAGAGTTTCCATAATCTTTAAGTTTTCTCGATTTCTCATTTTAACACCAGTGAGAAGCTCAAATGGAGAACTCTTTGTGCTTTTGCTCTTAGTACTGTTTAAGATCCTTTGTACATCTCCAAATTATTTGTACCACTTGGTTGGATCATCTATGGATAATTTGGATAGAACTGAAATCAGAGTGAGATGAATGCTTTCCACTTGTCCATTTCCTCTAGGAACGCCTGTATTTGTAAAATGTGCTGGATCTTCTCTTGACTACAGTAATCTTCAAAGTCTTTAGAGGTAAACGCCGTACCTTTGTCACTTATAATTCTCAAAGGATTACCGAAAGTTGATTGTTGCAGTTTCAGCTTTTGTAATGCCTCTTGAGCTGATATAGACTTCACTGGATACAGCCATACGAACTTTGTGAATGCATCAACCACGGTTAAGATGTGATTGTAGTTCTTATTTGTCGAAGGTAAAAGTCCTATAAAATCGATATGAAAAAAGCTCAAAGGGATACTATCTTTTAGTATCGGATTCAGCAACCCTTCGCCCTTACCTCGTTTTCTGTTGCACAAAATACATTCTACACAATTTGAAATAACTTGTTCAATTCGTTTTCTAAGGTTAGGAATATAAAAGTCGATTTTCGGCAGATCTTCCGTTTTAGACACTGCGAAATGTCCCTTGTTGTGGATACTACGTATGATTTCTAGTTCTAATGCTTCGGGTACCACAAGTAATTCACGACCACTGTCGAACTTGTATAATACTCCATTTTTCACTAGGAAATCTTTCTTTAGTCCTTGCTCGACTAAGGATTTTAGCAACTGGAGACGCTCATCACTTTTTTGCGCAGCTGTAATTTTGGCTGTAATTTCTCCCTGAGAACAAGTAACCATCATAACAGCGTTTCTACTTAATGAATCCACATGCTTCATTTGTTGCCCAGATCTGTGAACAATTTCATAGGCAAATTCTTCTAGAAGTAGCGCCCATCTCGCCACTCTAGGGGTTAGATCTTTCTTAAACATAGTCTTCTGGAAAGCATCGCAATCCGTAATTATTCTGACCTTTGATCCTAAAAGGTAATTCCTAAATTTCTTCAGAGCTTCTACTATGGCTAAGACTTCAAGCTCATAACTAGATAGCTTCTCTTGTTGGAGACTAGTTTTTTTGCTCATGAAGTAAATGGGGGGTTGTAACTGTCCATCATCTGACTTTTGTAGCAATACAACGCCCGAAACCATGACTGGTTGCGTCTGTATGCAATTCTAATGGTGCTCTTGTTTAAAAATATGAAGAACCGGACTTGTGGATAAAAGTTCTTCCAATTTATTAAATGCATATTTTTGCTCAGGCCCAAATTTGAATTCTGCTCCGTTACGAAGAAGATCACTTAGTGGTTTCGCTGTTTTTGAATAGTTGGCAATGAATTTCCTAAAATACCCAGTAAGACCCAAGAAACTTTGAATCTGCTTAAGGTTTTTGGGTTCCGGGAAATTTTGAACAGCCCTGTTTTTTTTCAGTAGAGGGACGAATTGTGCCATCCTCAATAACATACCCGAGAAAATCTATTTTTCTTTTCAAAAATTGGCATTTCTTAAAATTAATCTCCAAACCATATTTTTTGGCTACTTCTAAAACGCGTTTCTTCTATCGATAATGATAGTGATTTAAAACTTTCTAGCTCAATCTACTCGATAATGATTGTGATTTTAAACTTTCTAGCTCAATCTACTTCTCAATTTGAGCTAATTTAAGACGTTCCATCTCTAACAGATAGTGTTCATTACTTGTTTTAGGCGTCCGATCCTCTGCGATCGATTTGACGACGCCACGGACAAATTCAACGTTCGTTTTGAAAACATCAGAATTTTCGATAATTTTTCTAATGTCAGCGTTTTTTAGTATTTTCTGGAACATTCTGTCCTTCCGCAATTACTATTAAATCACTTTTCTTTAAATTATTTAAGAAACTCATTTTAAAAACTAAATAAAAGTATCACTATCTTCAAGAAGGAAATAAAGCAAAGTTTTCACAGTACCTTCTCTGAAGTATCCAAGTATGAAGTATTCAAATATCAAGTATCCAAATATCCAAATATCCTGGACAGGCCCTCAGATTTTCTGTAGTGGGGGAGTTGAAGATGCTAAATAATAATTCCAACGTGTTCTCCACACCACAGAACACTTAATAAAGACAAACAGAAGAAGGTATAGATTAGATTAATCACAAGTGTCGTTTGATACAAACAGGATTCTGTATAGCTTTTACCAGTCTTATCACAAAACCGATTAGTGCCTACTCACACTTGTTGATGTATTATGCAGTCAATTTATCTCCTTCGCATGGAAAACTACAGTTCCTTATTCTACACCTTCACGTGTAGACAGGCATCTCACCACCTTAGCGTGGGATAGCAGAAGAAGGTCTCTCTGTCTATGTCATACTCATCTTTCACCTCGCTCTCGCTGCTGGCGCATCGGTGAGGCCCTCTTGGTGGTTGTGTCGCCCTTACAGATACTACATGTATTAAGAAGACTCTTAAAGGGAAATATGATATACATATTTTTTCTGACAGTCTGACAGTTCTTCAAGCTCTCTCACGACCTGATCAGCACAACTCTTTAATGGCAGATATTTAGAGAATTATATAAATACTTGAGAGAAGATCAAACTATTGTGTTTAATTGGGTGAAGGCACACGTTGGGCATTTTGGAAATGAGAGGGAGGTCGCACTGCCCGAGAAGTCAATTACCGATGTTAATAATGTTAGTGCTCGTGATATTGATGTACAGAGATCAACAAGAAAAGCTGTGATTATTATGACAACTTATATTTATGATAAATGGAGGAAGGAGTGGGAAAGGTCTGATCGAAATAAAGGTTATATGAAATTTATTAAGCTTAAAAAAGGTTTAGGTTATTCAGACATTGACGTTAACCAAACCATTACAGATCATCGCCGTTTTCCTTTCTATTTTAGAAGGTTTAAATTACAAGAGTCTGACCTCTGTGATATCTGTAAAGAACCGGGCACTGCGGAGCATTATGTGGAAACATGTAAATAATTTACTGATATCAGGAACGAGTTTAAGAAAAATGATGTTTTTAATATATATGATATTTTAAATGATTTTAAAACATTGAAAAATTTTGTCAGGAAAATGATGGAGAAGATTAATCATGATAAGCTTGCAGTAGGGATTTTAATTTTAATTTTGTTTTTTAGTTATGTTCTTTATGTCTGTTTGTTGAAGCTGTTGTTTCTAGCTTGCTCTGGCGCAGCCCGCAAAAAAGCCACAGGGCGACGTAAAGTCTGCCAGGAGGGTCGGGCTGCGTCCCTCATATCATATCATATAATGTCACTATATTAATTCAAATAAATTCGTCTTTACTTTAAAAATAATAAATAAAGTCATATTTCAGTAGTGAAATAATTTTCTAACATGTGATTTGCATTGATTTCGGAATATGATTTTTTAAAGAATATAAAATGCATAACTTAATAACTTACTTTATAGATTAGTTTCATTCTAAATATTTTGCTATAATATTTATAAAAAAAATTTAAGTATTAATTATTTTAACAAAATTTTAAACAATTATTTAGCACGTATTTTTAGTACTAATTAAATTTAATAAACCAAAAAGTATTTTTATTAAATTTACATTTAATTAGATGAATCTGCCCTAGATTAATATATTTAGATGAGATAAAGTTATGAAACATTGCAAAGTAAATCTAATGCGTACTTCAGATTCTTGAAAGAGCAGATTTATTCTCTTTTCATTCTAAAAGTAATGTTGATGACCGAAAAAAAAAAATGCTAAAACTACCACGTCTAAAAACGGATATATGATGACGTTTCAGCGACATTGGCAAATTACCAAGATGCAATGGCAAATATTTTGCGTCTTCGCACCGTTGCAAAGACATCGTAAAGGTTACCACGACCACTTTGCAGCCTCTCGGACCAGTTTGCAACGTCGTGTGCTACTTGGGTTCGGAAAGTGTTCGCAACACATCCGTAACGTTGCCTGCCTTTGCCATTTGTACGCCGTACATTAAATATATGTTTGCTTTCTCAACATTCATTAAGTCAATCATCACTGGCCACAACATAGTTAATAATGATGTGTTTCAAGACATGTATAGTGTTGACACGCGGAGATCCACCTACTGCGTTTCGCTGTAAAATAAATCATTTCTCGACGTTGAGAAACATTTACTATTGATGGACGTAGTTTGAAGCAAATATTATTGTAAACATTGCTGTAAAGAAGCACTTATCAACGATGCTGCTAGAATAAGCAATTTATCTTTTTTTTTTTTTTTTTTTTTTTTTCATGTTTTATGACTTTGCCTCATTGCGTCGCTTGCTTGTTGCGTAATGTTTCTATACAAAATTTATTTGCTGTAGTACGCTTTACAAAATTTTAAAATTTGCTCAATGAGATTTGAAACACTCTGTATCAACCCATTAATCATTATATCTATAACCAGAAAAATACTTCTTATTTCAACTGCGATATTCTTCAATTTCAGATCCTTTTCGTTTACATATTTCAGTTCTTTTTTTCTATGCGTGAGTTAATGTTTCTTGCTAATTTACACTTTTACGATACAAATTCATGGTAAGTTTGGAACAGTAAGAGCTTTAATCTAAGAAGTTTGATTAAAATATTATTAATTCATTTTATTTTCAATTAAACATAATAAATTAAATATTATTAAATAGAAATATTTTAAATTAAACATAATGAATTTTATAAAAGTTTTAACATAATTTTTTGTAAGATTTACATATGATGTTTCATTGTTTTCTCGCATAATCTTTAAAAACTGAATTTCAGTGTTGATGTAATTTCACACCATGTAACAGGACCATTTCTGAGATCAAAGCGACTTCTTTCTGGTAGCCGTTCGGGATGTTACAGTATTTACTCTATGGTTGACAATTCACGTGAGCCAATCCAAATTCGTGCTAGAGAGATGTGTACGTATAATTATTACTTTTGTATGAAATACTTTGCATTAGATTAGTTAATGTTATTGTACTAAGTGTTAATGCTATTATTATTAGCTCATGTTATTGTATGTATTGCTATTTTGTGCAATGTATTAGTTAATGTTATTGTACTAAATGCTCCGTCTATTTTCCCCTGCTCCTTTACCAAGTATGAAAGGAATTTAAGCAATTCAAGAAAAAATCAGTAGTCTTAGAAAAAATCAATAGGCAATATAAATCTCTTTCGTGACTGAGACATAGCTGTCTAATCTTACATGTTTCTGAGGTGCTGAATACCAAAATTGCTATGAAAATGCTGTACTGCTTCTTATTTGAAACAGCGAAATAGAACAATGTGATGAGTAAAAGGAAACGGTATTTGTTAAGCTGTAAATTGCAATTAAAGCTCTAATTAAATGCAAACTTTGATTAATTTATATACAAATAAATTTTTGTAATAATTTTAATATTTTTTCACATGTATATATGTATATAATGGTATGTGTGTAAGGTAAAAAAAGGGAAAGAAATTATAATTTAAATCAGCAGTAGCCCCTTAATGCTTAATTTGGTATTTCCTTTCTGAATTCTAAAAATAGTAATCTCTTCCTGCACTTAGTCATTTCAAGACTAATCCATGGCATATGACTCTTACATATCACTGGTGAAGAACCAAAATTCAGACAGACAATAATAGCTTTATAACAGTATTAATTGTCCAATCAAAATATATTGAGGCCCAAAACTAACTCAGGCTGAACTTGCACTTGCTTTCTACCCTTCGGCCTAACTGGATCGCTGCTTGCTGCTCTCTTCTTACAACAAAGCTCTCAGAAATGTAAATTTTTTTAAACAAGCACAAGTAATGTACCAAGTTGTTTGTGACCGCAACATGTTTACTAAAATGAAAATTAAAATTAAATCTGCCCCGGCTGCCAGTTTCCTATTAAATATGTATCAAGATTCTACGCAATCAAAATTCTGGCTCTTCACTACGGATTCAACATTTTACGTTCTACTACAAGAATGTTGTAATCTTTTTCATTGCATATTGTTACGCATTTTGTATGTAGATAGATGCTTTTAAAAGAATTATAATTAAAAATGTTGTATTTTTCGTGTAATATATATAGCACGAGGCAAATTTTAAGATAAATCTGTGCCGGTAAAGTAAAAATACAAGGGCATGTGCATTTAACATAGAGTAAATGGGAATCTCGGTAATTTGTATTGAAATTGAATAAATGTAATTAATCACTGAGTTAGCTGTAACCGTAATTCCACCCTCGTATTGCATTCCAGAAATATCTCGCGACCGTTTGAAAAATAATAAAAGGCCGGAGAGAGAGCGTCTCGGTTCAGTTCATATATCCAGATGATGTACGATTGAAAATGTCATGAGTTCATAAAATTAGCGACTGTTGAACGTGTAACACAGGGATGTCAAACTCATAGGTACAATTGGGCCAAACAAACAAGGCTTAACTTTAGGCGGGCCGCAAAAAAAAAAATCAATATTCATAGAAACGTAGATTTATCTCGAATAATACAATAATAAACATATATATATATATTTATATAGAAAGGAACAAGAAAAATTTAATGTTTACGTCCTGATACTTGACATCTCTTCTCTGCTATTATCTTTCCTATTTCGGGAGAAATTTTGTTTGCAGTGATAACTTTCAACGCTGACCCAAGGTGAGCATCATTAATACGGTTTCTAATAGGAGACTTATTACCTTTCATGACTGAAAATAACTGCTCGCACCGATAAGTGCTACCAAACATGGAAATAATTTCATATGCAAATTTTCGAGTATTTTCAAACCTGGCTGGTAAATATTTGTAAAATTCAGGCACGCCCACTTCAATGAATTTTGCTTTCAAATTTGAGTTGCATTGAATCTCGATCACCTCCATTTGCATATGGCTGGGTACTGAGTCAATACTTATTGAGAAAATCGAAGAAAACAAAAAAAATTGTCTTCGAGGGAACTAAAATCATTAAACCTCGTTTCAAATTCAGTTGTTTAAATTTGCAAGTTTTTTCTGCGTAATTTTGATACGAACAAGTATCATCTAAACTTGATTTGTTCATGCTGCACGTCGGGAAGTGCGTCAAATCTTCATTTTTAAGTGTTTTTTTTCCCAAAGAACTAGTTGACATTTGAATGCTTTTATTATGTCAAACATGTTCGTAATGATATGATCTTTTCCTTGTAACGATAAATTTAAATCGGTTAAGTGTTTGGTTATATCAACCAAGAAAGATAAATCTTGTATCCATATTGGATTGTAAAACAAACTTACGTCTTGATTTTTCGTTTTTAAAAACTGACATATTTCTTCTTTCAAATCCCAGAATTGTTTGAGAATCTTGGAGCAAGATAACCAACGTACCTCGGTATAGTAGGACAAACCCGAATATTCACTATCTAACTCACTTTAGAAAGCAATGAATTGACGCTGATTTAAACCTCGAGATCTTATAAAATTTATAACTTTTTTTATATATGACAAAACATTCTCCATATTTATTACTTTCGTGCATAGAACTTCTTGATGTATAATACAATGCATATGATGAATGTTTGAACCGTGAATTTCACTAAGTTTTTTTCTTAGTAATGCTACGAAGCCCTTGTTTTTCCCGGTCATTGATGGAGCGCCATCTGTAGCTACAGAATTTAATTTTGCCAAAGGTAGATTGTATTTCTGCAGAAGTCCAAAAACACAAGTAAATATATCTTCTCCTGTGGTAGTACCAGGCATCGGTATTAGTTCCAGTAATTCCTCAAAAATGTTAAAATTCTTGTCACAAGAACGAAGAAACACTGCTAATTGAGCTTTGCCACTAATGTCCGTGCTCTCGTCACAGGCAATGGAGAAACTTTCGAAACTAGATGATTTTGCTTTGATCTGATCACTTAAATTCGCGGCTAAATCAGTAACTCTTTCCGCAACTGTATTTCGAGACAATGAAATTGATTGAAAAGCCTTCACATTTCCAGGACAAACAATTTCTCCAGCTTTCATTAGGCATTCCTTGATGAAATCACCGTCAGTAAAAGGCTTCGAATGTTTAGCTATCAACTCGGACAAGACGTAGCTTGCATGTACCGCCGCTTCACTTTCTTGCAATACTTTACAAAACGTGGACTGTTGCTTTTTCACTCCTAACTTGAGCTCTTTCAACTTTTCTTCTCTAATTAATCCTTCGTAATTGTCATATTTCGATTTGTGTTGTTCGTAATGACGTTTAATATTATATAACTTTGGTACATTAATAGTATTATTACATATCAAGCACATTAATTTATCTTTTATTCCACATAGAATATTAAGGTATTAAATGCACGCGCTGTTCTATTTTTAACCTTCCAACGCAGCTGTCTTTTCAAAAACCGTCTGTGTTGCTAAGGACACATGAAGCAAATCTAATTACAATTCTAAATAAAAAAAAACTAAATAAATAACTATGAAATCCGTAACAATATGAATTAAGTAATAATTAATAATAAAGCAAAGTGCATGCACATGCATGCACCAATATATCGTACAAAACTATGATTGGAAAACTGAGACCATGAGTTCGGCCACATTCGGCTATCGGGGGATGCGTACAAGTTCTGAGTGCACGTGTCCCCCAAAAGCCGAAGGTAGCTGAACGCAAGCTACTCACACGCATTTGTAATTTAAGTAGTGTGTGTGTCAGCTCGCTGTGAGTAATCTAACAACACTGAATAAATTATCGTTAATAATTACTTAGCAGTAAACATTTTTTTTTTTCTTCGTCGATATGTTATTTTTATTATTATATTATATTTGCCGATATATTGGCCGGGGCGCAAAAATATTTGTTGTGGGCCTCATGCGGCCCGCGGGCCACGAGTTTGGCATGCTTGGTGTAACACGTATCTCTGTTAGCTCTAGAATGCATTCTGATTGCAAATAGGTTATATTGCGTTTCTTTCTGGAATCATAAAAAAGTCCTTATTTAGGACACCTGACTCGATTGACGATGATTATAGCGACTGTCCGGGCACGGAATACTCGACCAGATCTCAGCCTAAGCCAATTCGAATGGAATTCCTGAAAGACTCTTAAATGACTCTACAAGATCTTTGCAAAACGTTAAAGGGAAAAAGGCCTAAAATGATACCGGAATCTGAAAAGAGAAAAGACCCTGATCCTGAAATTAAGACTAATCATGACCTGCCCAGGAAATTATCCAAGATTACTGATTCACCTAAAGCAAAAGAACTTCTTCTGATCATAAATGTCCTCGGAACCGATAGAGTGCTTAAACGTATCAATGGAAGTGATACCTATACGACGCTTACTGCAATACAGCTCTAAACGAGGGAAGATAACCTTCACATGAAAAAAACCTGACGCTGAATGGAAGTATCCGAAAAATCCAGTGAAATCTCCAGAAAAACCAAGATCGATGGATCTGACTAACGAAAACCCTTTCAAACTCTGGATAAAGCAGAAGTAATGGAAACAAATGAAGAAACAGTACAGAAAAAATTCCCCCGATCATCTTTTTCTCAGGATTCCGCTGACTGGATGAAGTTAAATGAAATTTTCCGAAAATTTGGGCAGAGTAATACCAATCCACGATGGAAAATAGAAATAGCTACGTTTATATTGAAAACCCAACGGACTATAGAAATGTGACTAAGTTTCTAAGCGAAAAGAATGTTCCTTTCACACATTCCAGTTAACCAGCGAAAAGAATGTTAAAGTAATTATGAAAAATCTACCGTCATCAGTGAAAGAGGAAGTAATTTTCTCCGACTTAGAAAGAAGAAACTTTCCCATATTGAAAGTAAAACAATTAAGTCGCACCAAAATTGGATTGGGGAAAACCACGAAAACGCCCATGCAGCCAGCCCGTTCGCGGGATTCGAACCTCCCCCGCACGAGAAAAAGGGTTACGGAAAAACTTTCGATATTTTTCCTGGAATTAAAAAGAAAAGACGCCGCCTCAAATGTTGTTTTTTATTTGAATAACAAGTTCAGTTTTAATGTGAAAATTGAGTGATTATCGCCCAGAAAAAGGCCTATGCAATGTTTCCATTGCCAGTCGTAAGGCCACATTCAGTACCTTTGCAATAATCAAGAAAGACGCTGCAAGTATGCAAAATCACACAGAAGCAATGTGTGTACGGAAACGCCTGTAGAAAAAACCTCCCTGCATTTTCTGTGGTGAAGACCATGTAAACAGTTATAGAGGCTGTAGAGCTTACAAAGAAAAATTTGAGAAAAGCTTCAGAAGGCACCTGCCTCACCAGAAAATTCAAAGAAAGCACTTTTCCGAAGTTCCAAATTCTAAAAACGTCCCAGTTGAATATACGAAAAAGATGCTTTACAGTGAAAAAGTTAAGCAAATTTTAAACCTGTGCCAAAAATCGTTAAAGATGCAGTCAGTTGGATTCTAGATGAAAATATTCAAAATCTACTAGAAACCATGATACACCAAATCACAAAAATTCAGCAAACTCGAATTCCTATGGAAAAATTAAGAGTTGGATTCCAGGCAGCCAAGATACTCATAGAATTCGCCGAAAAGCACTAGTTTTATAACTAGTTTCATCAAAACTATAATTAGTTTTTATAACTAGTTTCTTCACTTATCAGCAAAAATCGAAGGAAACCGCAGCTCAGGCGTACAGACTACGGAAAAAATTCTGAAACCTCTAGATTGTGGACTCTATCTCCGCTCGTGACTTTTAAAAACTCTGTCCTGCACAGGCTTATTTTTATTTTTTATCCTCACTTTATTGAATTACTTTATTTATTGGACTTTTCGCCTTCGGGTACGGTGTTAAAAGTTTAACACCTTTATTTTCTCTATTTTTTCTTATTTTTATTTACTGGTGTGTACTCATTTTAATAGGTACCAATAGCAAAATTACGATCGAAGATCTAAGTTCAATTCAATTCTTTAGTTAACTGCTGTTATTATTATTGCGAGTTCAGCGTGAGACTGGATTAGCTTTCTCTGTAGATAAGCCTTGAATTGCGTTGGGATTAACGTTCTTGGTAGTTTGAAGAGTAACTACTGATTATACTGTGCGATACTGTGAACACTTGTACGAATATTTATGTGGAAAATTCCAGAGATCTGAAATATTTCATTTGATAAAAATATATTTTTATTAACCTATTATTGGACTTGTGCTTTCAATCTATAATGAACTCGTACGCAAGAAACAATTTTTGGTGTCAGAAGTGGGACTGAATGGCAGTGACAAGAACGATGGACGAGCAACTAAGATAGCTCGTGACTGCCTTTGCTGCATTCCAAGAAACGTTGGAAGGGGCAGTCAACTCAGTAAACCCTTTAAAGGAGAGATGAAAGCGACACAAGAAGAGATGAATGGGCCAATAACAGATGAAAGCGCACCAAGAATCTGTTCAACAAACGATTGAATCAGGTCAAGAAGAAATGAAAAGGGAAATTACGTGCATAATAGAAAATAAATTTGAGGATAAGACAGAATAGACGCTGTTGAAAATAGAGTTAGACACATACAAGAAAGAGTTTCTTTCGTAAAAAAACAAATAGAAGAAAGAATTATAATGGGAAGACCACTTGACAAGTGTATAAGACACAATTTGATATAGTGGCGGTAGCGAATGGATGGGATTCCCAAGTTAAGGCCTCTCATCTCACCGCTTGTCTGAGGGCAGACGTAGCGGATATACTTCAGACCCGAAAACCAAAGGCTAGATTTCGAAGCTCTGTCCGATGCGTTGGAGTTAGGATTTAGGGAGAAAAGTTGATAAGACTACAGCAGGGTTCAATTAAAATCCAGTCAACTGAGGCCCATGGAAACACTCCAGGAGCTTGCCACGAATGTTGAAACACTATCTCATCTCACCGTTTCGAAGTGTCCGACAGAAACTAGGGAAATCCTTTCCTTGCAGTACTTCATCGACAGCATCCGGGATTCTAAAATACAGAAAGCTCTACGAATGGCAGATGTCAAGGGTTTAGAAAGCACTCTGGTGTACGCCATGAAATTCGAGGCAGCCCAGCAAGCAACGCACAAAGATCGCCACCTAATCAGAGTTATTCAAATCCAGGAGCCAGTGGATCAAGTGACTGCTCGTTTAGAAGATTTAACCAGACAATTCAATGCTTATGATGTGGAATAAGAGTGCGGAAAAAAACTGACTCTAAAGTGCTGGAAATTTTGTGCTGAAGGTCCCGTATGAAGGAGCTTCAGAACACCCCAGGGCACGGAAAAGAAGACAGACGCTTTAAACCGACAAGTCAATGCCCTGAAAATGAACAGTGACAAGAAACCATCCCTAAAGCGCTGGATCTGCTGTGGTGAAGGTCGCGTACGAAGGAGCTGCAGACCGCTTTAGGGCAGGGAAAATAAAACGACGAAGGAAACAAATTAGTTGCCACCCCACTGAACGGAGTTTCAAAGATAATGAGAGGCTCCATTTTAAAGCGCTTCAGATTTTTGCAGTGAATGGTATTAGTAATGGAATAATCATCAATTCGCATATCAATGAAGTTCCTTGCAATATGACTATTGGCACAAGAGCCAATGTTACCATCATTCGGAAAGATTTAGCTGCAGACTTTAAATATGAACTCATTTGGACGCCATCCTGTGTTACCCTCCAGACTGCGTCTGGTGATTAAATCGAAATAGATCGGAAGTTAAGCGTAAATATCACATTTGAAAGTGCAGCCTACTATCACACCACATATGTGGCAGATATTACAGCTCCTCGCATACTCGGATTCGTTTATCTAAGGAAATAAAATTTTCCTTGGGCTTTAAAAATAACGAACTATATTCAGCATCTGAGGACATAACTAACCTTCATCAGAAGAGATCATCGCATGGAAATGCCGAAGCCCTGTCTCGAAGACCTTGCCCAGAAGGCTACAGATATTGTGCCATGGTCCAAGCGAAATACGAGATGCTGAATCCGGTTGTTCGACAAGTTACAACATCAGCATCAGCCGACTGAGACCCATGGCGTGATGAAGAAGTAAAGAAAGACCAGCTGGAACACTGCAACATTAAACCCATAATTCTTTTAATGGAGTTCTCAAACAAAAAAAACCTACCTAGTACTATATTTCGATTTGTAATCGAATTTTGGATCTGAAGTCCAACAAAATAATTCTCGCCTCTCTGGAACACGTTCAAAACGGCGTCTTCTAAAGGAAATTCGAATTGGTTGATTGAAAATCTTTCCAGTGGCAGCTGATACTTCAAGATCTCGAATTCCGGACGTCCTTAAAAAACTACATAGCAGCCCTACAGGAAACCCCACAGTCTACATACACAGGGTTCGTATTAAGTTTGTTTAAATTAGAAGACTGTGTTCAGGTCGCCAATCAAAACGCCGTAGATGTGCTCCCTGTATCGGTGGAAGTCATAAACGCTAAGCGAGTTTTTCGCAAAAAAATAAATATTAGTATTTATACACTGTTTCAGTTTTTAAATCACGTCATTCATCTTATGTTTACGTCACCGCTGTCAGTTCTTACTAAAACCATTAGAAGGCACCGTGTTCGTTTGCTCTTTAAAATGGTACATAACTATTAAAGCAGAATTTAAGTGCTTTTTATACCAGATTTTCACTGCTATATCAAAAGCGGCGAAGTAATCGGTAGATGCTGATTGTCTGAAAGCTCATTTCTGAAAAAAACATAACTGATACAAAAGCAAGCATTATTTCTTACTAAAACCTTTTACAACAGTGTAGAGCCTTTGAAGCAGAATTTAAGTGCTCTCTGTCAGTTTTTAGCAAATATTTCAAAAATACTACCTCAACTTTAAATGAAGTCTTTTAACTCTGATTAAAACCTGTGCAGTGCAGGGTACTTTAGCTAGTTGGCGTACGACTTGCAGTATAACGCGATATATATACTAGTATGTCATCGGTAATCTGCATAGGACATTGCAGGGATTGGAAAGTGAGAGGCAAGAGGTGGTAGTGGGTCGCAGTCAAAAGAGGCAATAGAAATCGCCAGCATAACTCTTCACTTTCTGTATTTAAATTGTGCCTTTTGCGTTGAAATATTGAGAGCAAGTTCGAAAAAAATACGATGCTTAATAATAAAGCTAAGCATATTAAAAAAAATTGGTTAGCAGGAGTGAATGCACAGCAGCCTGGTAGATTGCCTGCTTAGCGAGGGAGTAAAAAAACCTTGAGAAGTCCTTTTGGGCAATCGTTAAACTCTGAAACCTTTCAGAATTTGCGTTTACTGCAAACATTCAAAAGACTAATACAAATTCAACTAGACTTAAACGGAAACCACCAGTAGAATTTCCTCGTTGGTCCGATGCATATGATGACTGGATTGCAGGTAGGTTTTCCAAAAACTTATGCTTTTAACGTGAGTACAAATGTTGAGGAAGTGACTACCATTATGTCCTGAAAACATGCTTCTGCTTGAGAACAGTTTTCTGATGCTAAAATTAAACCAAGAAGAAATTAATTTATGTTTTGCTTCATGTATACGTTTTTAAGAAATAAAGATAATTGTATAGCTATTTTTTTTTTTTTTTTTTTTTTTTTTGTCTTCGCATATGTAGACCAAATTATTCAAAATATAAAAATGCGATTTAAGTTACTGAATTATTATGTACATGAATTAAGACTTTAATAGCCAAGCTAATTCATAATTGACCTATTTCCAGTTCAAACTCCTGTAAATACTTTCACGTTCAGCGTAGACCCAAAAGAGATTTTTATCCCTGGTGATCGGCCAGGAATGCTGTTTTCTGTCCACTCTCCATTTGAAGGAGTGAATCCATTTGAGAGAGGAATTTTCATGAAAATAGGAAGAATATACAAATTGTATGTTAGAATGGTATGTGTTTCAAACATCATTAGCTTAAATAATGTTTATTTAATTATTATTTTTATTATTATTAACATCGTCACTGACCATCATGAGGAGCAATGTGTTCTGATTCAAATTTAGCCTTATTCTTGGCATGTATTGAGAAATTAAATACAGTAGAAAAACGTGAAAACTTTTCATATATACATTACTTACAGATTGTAATCCTGTAGCTGCTTTATAAGGTATTTGGTGAAATACTCTTCTTTATATTAAAGGTATGACATGGTATATTTAAATTACTCAAAACAGTAGAGAGCTATCTTCCTGATAGGAGGGATGCCTTCGTGGATAACTTTCTAAGAAAACCTGACACGCATACACGTTACACATGGAGAAAAACTACAAAAACGCGCATACAGCCAGCCCGTTCGCCAAGATTTGAAACTGGGCCTAACTACCGGTGTTCAGCGATTTTACCATTCGGCAGCTTGGGTGGTCTAGTACTGGTAGTATTAGGATACTTTTCGAGCCTCTTGTAAGGTAAATTTTAATTAACATGATTTTTCTTAATTTAAAATTTATCCTAGACGACTGCTGCTTTTTGTCCTTAAACCATAATTTGTAAGTCTGCTTCTGTTTTCTGCTTCTACCAGAAGTCTTTCAAATAGATAATATAATAATCTAAGTTAAGGAAGGAGGGGCTAGCATCGACCATCATCCTAAAGAAAATTCATTCGACATTCGCTGACATTCTACATGGTGAGTTCTTTATTTCAGCCGTTGCGATCAACTGTGAAATTAAGAGAGCCAAGCACTAGCATAAAATTTCTCTTATTACTATAAGGGACTCTGCGTATTATCTCTTACTCCCCCAAGCAGCGGGAATAAATCTGTGTTCGTTCTTTTTAATTTTGTACTTCAGGCTGACGGCTCCAACAAATTTTGATTGTTTGATTTTATTTTACATAAAATGGCCACCACTTCTGGCTTTAGAAGTGCGCAGTGCTGAATTGGCAAGCTCCCGCTACTGGATAAGAAAATTATTTTTTTTTCTGTCATGTTTATTTAGCATTTTGAGTTAGTTTTAACATCGGATTGTCTTGTATGAGTAAAGGTGGTCAAAATTAGTAAAAGCAAACTGTAGTTTAAGCTTTGAAATCCTATCTCTGTGTTAAATCAGTTTTATCTCTTCTTAACGGATATTTTAATTTTCCAGTATAATAATTATCATGCATTCATTTTCAACAATACTCATGTGTAATTTCTGCCGCTTACTTTTGGGTATCTCTCAAGAATATCAGAAAATACAGAAATTCAAGGTACTAATCGCTAAACACAACATTTAAGTTCTGCATAAAATTTATGAAAGTTTTGCTACGCTGAGATGACAGGGCATATTATATGATGATATGCTTGATCATAATTTATGTCTTTGCTCTGTAAAGTATTAACATATTTATACTATTTGGAAAGTATTTAGTCTCACTAGAAGGAATAATCTTAATAATAGAATTAATTGATTTATGATAAGCAAAATATTCAATTTACCCTTCATACGTAAAGATACTCTAATAAACCAACGAATGCTGACGTAAAATAAATGATTGCATTAAAGATCAGAAAAAAATTAATAAAAAATCTCATGTGGACACCACATGACTTCCTTTTACGGCTTATTAAATTAGACACACTTTTATTCTGCTGTATTGCATTTAAACTTATTTTCTTGAATTGCATTAGAGATATATTTCTCATTTAATTTATTCAATTCTCACTTCGTAGCATGGCAAAAATACATAAAAACTCGAAATGTCATTAAAAACTGTAAACTACAGAAAAACATAAAACACCAAAATAAAGTTTAAAACATTTTTTTTACAATTAAAATTAAAGTTTCTCACGCAAAAACAAGCACTTTGGCCATCGGGCAAGAAAGCATATTTTTCGGTGCACAAAACTGAAAGTTTACTTATGGTCCCACTCGGCAAAAAGACACTGAAAATGCAGAAGGTGACTACAAAGAGCTCAAAATGTAAACAAATGGCAGCTTCGTTACTGTTAGCTGGGCCACTTTTAAATTGTTGGTAATTCTACAATTATTGCATGCAGATTAAATAAACACATAAAAACATTAACCGGAACATAAGAACAACACAATTCATTCACTTTTAAAACAAAATTCGCACAATTTACCAACCTAAAAGACTAAAAAAACTGAGCTCACTGAGCCGAGTAACAGAGTGTATATAATAACAAAGTAAGAGATACACTCTAACAGAGTGTATATAGTAACAAAGTAACAGAGTATATATATATATACATACATATAAAATTGTGTTTATATTTACAATTTTATACAGAAAACTTTTAAATCATTTCCAAAATTTTCGAGCAATGTGCAGCTGAAAACTAATCAGTAAATATATAAAGAAAGAAATTTAGACCCAATTTATCACAAAGACCAAAACCTTAAATTCAAATAAATGAATTTTAAAAAACTTACAAATGTAGAATTAGAATTCTGAAAAAGTAAAAAGAAAACATACAATAAACCAAAATAAATAAATAAATTAAAAAAGAACATGAAAGAAGAGGAATCCAATCAACGCTGACATAACGTCCTCAGGAGGAGAATACGCCGAAATTGTTATAATTCCTCTTCCATAATAAAATCTTTGCTTTTCTGTATCTAGAATTAACTGATTCCGATATATTTTTTACTCTTAACAGTTCACCCGAAAACTCTGGTCCACCCCGAAGCAAGGAAAAATGGCAAAAATTAGAAAAAAAAACATTCAGGAAGAAATTCCCTGTTAAATAGGAATTATTTCCAAAATTGAAAACTAACGCATTATACGTAGAATTAAAGAAAACACTTTCAGTTCAGAAAGTTTAACTTGAGAATAAATTTCTAAGTAGCAAAAATGTTTTAACACATAACATTGTGAGAATCTCCTTTCAAACGCCATTTGAAACAAATGACAGAATTGTTCATCGGCTAATTCTAGATATAGAAAAACAAGGATTTTTTTATAGAGGAGAAATTATAATTAAAATCAGCGTATCCTCCTCCTGAAGACAGCACGTCGGAGTTGTTTCAATTCCTCTTCTTTCATGTTCTTTTTTACATGTTTTTGTTTTTTCTTGTAATGATTTATTTTAATTTCTCTTTCTACATTTTCAGAATTCTAATTCTACATTTATAAGTTTTTTTCAAATTTATTTATTTGAATTTCAATTTTTCGTCTTGTGATAATTGGTTCTAAATCTTTTCTTTATATATATATATATATATATATTATATTTAGTACTTTTGATTTGCAAACCAAAATGAGAGATGCCCAACTACGTGTTATACCAGTTCCACACACAAAAGTTATGAGGCTACTCATATTTAAGTTATGCGAGATACATACATATGTAAGTACAGACGTCACGAAAAAAATCTTTTCTGAATCTATTTTACAATATGTTTTGGGGAAAAGAGTCTATATTCTGTCCTATGTACAGATTTCACACACAAGCATCGTTCAAACGCATTCCAGTATGGGCAAAATAGATAATTTTCATTGAAATATGATACCCGAAATTTTTTTAGATTACAATACGTCCTTTACAATACGTCCAAGTAAGGAAAAATAGCTATCTAAATCTTTAGACAGTCCTTAATATAATAAAAAGTACAGTCTTAATGAGGATAAACTGTTTGCTGACCTTCAGCTCATGAAATAATAGTTGGAACTTGAACCCTGTCAGAATCTTTGTTCCTTCATGCAGGAACTCAAAACCCAACACTCATAACATGAATTCAGTACAACTCTTGTTAAAAATAAGTTTCGTAATACCATACTCCTTAATATCGGAGCCTCTAATAGGCTTGGTTGTGAGGTACAAGAATAAATGAAAAGCAGAGCCAAGAGATCGAACGCATCGTTCCCATCAAATAAGAAGGCAAAGTAACCTCAAAGGCACGGAATATGAAGATTTTTTTCAGCTGCTCTCATTTATAAAGCTTCATGGGGTCATTTTTCAGCCTCGCGGCAAATAGTAAATGTAAATTTCTAACTGGTTGTAGGTTTATCTACTTTGGGATTGTATTATTAATTCCAAACTTTCCTAGATTCATCGCAGTTGGGGAGTACCGTTTGGAGACCGGACATGATTGTCTCGCTAAACGTCTGCTCTGCACTGGTATATATGACAGTGCCTTGTGCACTTTGAGTAACCGACATTTTAAGATGGACAGAGATCAATTGCTAAAGTGTTCCTGGTTGAAGGAAGAAAACTTATTCAGTCTATATTGGCGGGTTAGAGAGTTGATGCAGTTGACATCCAGTGGCTATTTTTCTTCATGCTTAACGTAGTCGTGTGTTATTCCATTTTTCCTTTCAGTCAAATTATTGTTATTGTTATGAGGTTAATTACTGTTTTGCCTCATTGCAGTTATAGTTTTGCGTAAAAATTGAAATAGGTTATATTCTGCTTGTCTCCTCAACAAGAAATATAAATGAATTCTATGCCTTACTACATCAGACAATTTAAAATATGCTGAATGTGATTTAGGTACGATCCATAATTTCGATTGATTATTCGACTTTTGGTTATTTTCCAAGCTAATGTTAGATAGTGGAACTTAATTTAAACCTATTTTGGTGCCTTTAAATTTAATAATTTCAAATATATTCATTTTTAGAATAATGAAAGTAATGTACGATGTAATGTATTGTAATGTATTTTGCAGTAATTTACAAAACAGACAATCTTCTTAGTAGAACATAAATTTTATTTCTAGTTCACGGTGATAGACAAATTTTATACAATTCTTAAGTGGCAAAATTTTCATACTACTCCTAGCTGTAAAAATATTCAGAATCCTCATCTTTTTAAAACAATATCTCACGTTGATGAGTAACGGTTTAATACAAATATGGCGTTGCCACTTCAACAATAATTATATTTATTTATTAAATAACAAGATATTACAGTATGAATGTAATTTACGATTTAAAGTATGCTTTATCTTGAGCTTTAAACCAGTTATTTCTTCTTACCCAATAAAATAAGCAAGTTTATATTTGCGGAATTCTATAAAACAATTTACCTCCAACTTGTACTTTTAATATTAGTTAGAAAATAGATTATAATTCAATTCTTTAAAAAAAAAGGGGATGAAAAGTATTAAATATTCAAAAGTTTTCTAATTTACTATTAGTGAATTTTATGTATAGAAGAATGATCGTCAGCATATAAACGAGATATATTCTCATTTATATTCTCTTTATATATCTTTTAATTAAACGACTGTTACACCATTTACTCATCTAAATGATTTTTTACATTTATATAATTTCTTTAGTTCTGCATTCGGCAGATTACTTCTATCTTTACACAGACACATTTAAATACATTAATAGCTTCATATATCTTATATACACCTACTTCAGGAACCTAAGTTGACTTTTTAGTATTTATTTTAATCTTCGCTTAAAACATTTGTGTTGCAGTGCATTTTTTTCTCTAAATTTGTGAGATCTAATATCCTTAGCTATCATCCAATGTAACTAAATCTACTTAAGTGTAAATCTTACTTAAGTGTAAAGCGACTCCTCGCAAAGACTTGAAAATGAACTCAACAGGGAAAGGGTGTAAAACACCCTTTTATTGAATACGATATTTTACAAATGGCACAGACTTGTGTGTTTACAATCAGTGACCAACTGCGGTGAGAATCTTAAAAGATAATGTGTGCCATTAAATTTAAAGATAAGAGTAGCGCAAGACTACATAATTCAGTTTAAGCTAACAGGTTAACTCAGAATCTACACTGGCAGGATAATAATTCGGCGGTAAGAATACGAAACTGATATTCAAGTTTATCAGCTAGAAGAAATAAAAACTTGCTCTCACAGTAGCGAAACCACACTCTATCTCAACTTCTCGTTACATCAGTTTTACATACAGTCATTTACCCAAATTGATTCACATAGTGGGGACGAAACGCGACGGAAATAAGAAAAGACATATAAGACTGTAAGGATTTAATTTATTCTAACCAATTATTTTTAGTTTGACTTTCCTGCCCCTCCTGATTTCAGTTTCCCTCCGGATTGTAAATTTTGTATGACGTAGTATTTAAACTTAAACGTATTTCAGAAGGAGTATTTAGGTTGCGTATCAAGAGCAGTAGCGAACTTAGTTTCGATGTTTATGCTGTAGTCGGTACTAGCTCTGTAGTCGGTGTTCGACACCTTTCAAGTTTGTACTGTTATTTCTCAGCTCGGCTTTGTTGCGTGCAGCCGATTTAGCGTTAGTTAACCTAAGAGCCAGTCGTTGGCTATCTTAAGTTAATGTACATATTACTTAGTTATGTTACATATTACTTAGTTCTTAAGTTAATGTGCATTCTTATTGGCTGTTAATTTAGTAGCTACAAGTGGTGGTGAATTTTGAGCACCAAGCGCGTGCATCTGTTCATTTTTAGTTAAAATAAAAGATTATTTAAAACCTTCGTTTGCAGAACTTACTCTCCAAAGACATAGCAAGAATTCGCTGCTTCGTCTTCAACATAGAGTCCAACTTCAGTGCTACTAAAGGATACCCATAGACTCTATAAAGCTAACAAATTAGAATAATTGTTATTAAAAATTAATGAAACCCTATAAATTAATCGATGGGGAAATTTAAAAGAAAATCTTTCAAAATAATTGTTTAATAAAATCATCAGTTAGATATATCATAAAACCCCAAACCACTCCTGTTTAGGTTAAAGTTTAGCAGAATTAAGAACTTGAATTAAAGATTTTTGCACATTCACACATTTTTTTCCGTGCACAGATATAACTCATATAATCATATACTGTAATGTTTTCTTAATTTCACTTTTACATTAAAGAGTATGTAACGTTTATTTTATACGAAAATTCCAGCTAAACTTTCCACTTTTTAAAGCTTTAATACCTATTTTGGTCAAAGATAGACTTCGAAGTTTCATCTTCCTTTAATATATTTACGTATGTTAACTGAACTAAATCACACTATCATCTGTATGGGGCTCAAGGCTGTTGCCAACGATAGGCGTAGCTTGCGCGCTTCATTCCAAGAGGAATTTCGTGGGCTTGGGAATAAGTAACAGCAACATATTTTAACTTCTTAGCCTTTAACTTTTAATTATTAACTCAGAATTATAGTAAACACGGCATAATTTTCAAACGTTTGTTCCCAAAGGAATTCACTCATTAGTTCTCTAAGATTTTGTCAAATAGATTTTTTATTAGTCCCTTAGAACGCAAAATATGATAAATACATCATTTAATCCAGTTTATTTTTAAAGTAAATTGTCCAATTACAAATAGCTATCAACAGTTCTTGGATGTAAATTAACGTTATATTAAAACCGCTTATGAAATCTGCCAAAAGTGATTAAATGATTCCGTATTTATCATTTCGCAAATATCTCAAGCAATTTTTTTTAAATAAAATGCATCTATCTGATATCAACTTAATCACTTTGAGACTCTAAATGTATAAACGCTTGTATTGTTTATATTTTCTTATTCTTCGCTGCTTTAAATGTATCAGTTTCTGTCATTTACTTGCACCTGCATAATTTCTTTCCTTCTGAAGCACTTTTATACATTTTACAGGAAAAACAAATCTTATTGCCTTTACCTTATAAAACGAATTGTATGAATTATACCGAGGAGTGGCTTAAGAACAACAGGTCCGGTCCAAGAACAAAGAAGGTTAGTTTTACAACAAATTCTCGTGCTTGAGATTATTTATTTAAGCGTTGTTTTATGTGAAAATTTATATTTGTGTAGTCTTTATTCCGAAAGAACGTTAGCCCAGATGAGCTAGTAGTCTCAAAACGGGATTTTCCGTCGTCCGCTATAAACGCGAAGTACTTTTCCATTTTTGCCACCAAATACTACCGCTCTGTATTATCTTTAAATAAATTAAATAATGAAGAATCTGCATGCATGTATGTTTATTCCTATCATTATGCAAAAACTACAGTACCTAAAATCATTAAATTTTCTATACCGTTGTCCTCCACCCGAACATGTGCGACTGGAAACCCGAATTTTATATTTCATATTAAAACTTTTATGAACTTTCCTCATAGTGATGAACTATTATCCATCACCTTTTAGTTCGGGCGCCACTTGTAGAGTCATTAGATTTATTGATGTTATGAAGCTAAATAAATCCGGAATGTTCTCGCCGAGATTCGAACTCCGGACCTCTTAATTACTTATCAGACGTGCTTCCGAAAGCATATGGAAAGTATGAAGAAAATACCTTATAAAACCACGTTTTTTTAACCTTACTTCATGAAGGCCATAAATAAATTTTGCTTTTACCAGTCTTGTTTCTGCTACCAACTATATTCGCAAGATATTAACTGTTTTTGTTGGAAAACGTTATGAACTTCACTTACGAAAAGGCATGCTGTACGAGCTTTATTACTGAGGAATTGAGTTTTTGAAAGGCTTAACCGTTATATTGCTGTTCATTACAAGAGAATTAAACGTTTCATTCCAAGAAACAAGATTTTAAATTAAATTAATATTACTTAATTATTTTATATAATTTATTTGCTATTATATATAATGTAAAAATTATTATTAATATAATATTTTTATTATTATATATATAATAAAATTAATATTCCTTCAAATTTTATTTAGGCATTATAATCTTCAAAGAAAACTAGATTTTCCAGCATTAGTTACAATTTAAACATAATAATACATTTGTTTATTTTACACCTGAATAATTAGAGTATTGTGATGCAAGACGCACTACATATAACCTGTGCTTTTGTTAAAACAAAGTTAAGGTGATTTTTGCATAGAATTATTTAATGTTACATGTATTCGAGTTGGTTAAAATGCTTTTGGAAGAATATGTATATTATATTATAAACAAATTTTAAGATATCAATTCCTAGTGTAAAAGAGCCCACCAGAGGCCGAGCGGTAAAGACGCTGAACACTGGTAGTTCGGTCCGAGGTTCGAATCCCGCGAACGGGCTGGCTGCATGGGCGTTTTCGTGGTTTTCCCCATGTGTAACGTGTATACGAGCCAGTTTCCCTTAGAAAGTCCTCCACGAAAGACATCCCTCCCCTTAGGCAGATAGCCCTAGTGTGCTTGTAAAAGACTTAATGAAAAACAATTAAAGATTTTATATTTTTATTTATTAAAATTTCCCGAAATATAAAAGGTTTTTTGAGGTTTCCAATTTTTGCGTGAATGGTATTAAAAGCTCTTCGTACGTGACTTCGGCATAAAATTATCTCATGTCATATAAAAACCTAAAAAAAAAAAAAGAAAAGTAATAAAATATATAAGTAAGTAAATTAAAATTCTGAAAGCTTTCAGATTTTGTATTACACCCAAACTGGCGTTTTCTCATTTACACAAATATACACGTTTCCGAGAGCATTTGAGCTAAAATATTTTAAAGCAGCATATCTTCAGAATTTCCGACAGACAGTCTCGCACGCTGTAGATAAAAATATTTTATTTCGCACAATGTGTTACCAGTGCTCGCTTTGAAATCGTTGAGTTTCTTAAATACAAATTCGTTAAAGTTTAAAAAATATGAAATAAATAATAAAATAAACTCTATTCAAGATTCGGGCTTCCAGGAGCCCATAGTCGGGGGGAGGATTACGTTATTAAAAATTTGACGGCTCTAGGTATCTTTGTTTTTTCACACATGCATATATTCATGCAGATTCTTCATTATTTAATTTCTTTAAATATAATATGAAGCGGTAATATTTGGCGGCAACAATCTGAAAAATGGTAGAGCCATTGATAGTCATTCGACGCAAAATTCTGTTTTGAGATTAATAGTGTTTCTATGCTAACGCCCCTTGGGGCTAATAAAATTTGTTTTCTTACCAATTAAGAAAACACAGAAGTAAAAACTAACATATAACCTATAAATAAAAACCAATGTTATTAAAACTGTAATGAACCATATTAATTTAGTTTTGTGTAGAGAGATAATTCTACTTCTCCAAAATATGTAAAAAATAATATGTGATTCAGATTACTAAAACTGTATTGCGTTTTTTTAAAAATATGCATTTCCAGATGTGCATTCATAAATGTCTTCTAGAAGCTTCTGTGAAATGCTTCAACTGTTCTGCAAGTCTGATTTTTTACCCAAACAATGCAAGAATTTGTTCTTACGGTATGTATAAGTAACACTTACTGTTGCATTTCCTTGAAAAATTTAATGTTGCTGGATAAAAAAAGTATTATGATTTAACAGAACTACGCATTTATATAATTAGAAATGAAGACCATCTATTAGTAGTTCTCTAATTGATTTCTATTTATACTTTATACAAAACTTCATTACAATTTTGGATTATAGAAGGAAATGAGTTCCTTAGAAAAGATGAATATCTATTTGTAAATTAGACAGCTATACTGAATTTCATCTTTAATAAATTTTAGATTACTGAATTTCATCTTTAAAACAAAGTTCTTATACTGGCTGTTCCGATAAAGTGATGGAACTTTTATTTTGTAAAGTATTAATTCTACATATTTTCAACCGCGCAGTTTCTAAATATGTATATTACAATTTTTATTAAGATTATCGTTATGTTTTGCATGAGGAGAGCTTTTGAAAATATGACATCAAACGTAACATTTTTGTGATTCCCACAAAGCACATATTCCAATAAGTAAATCATTTTTTATGCTACAGTTCGTTAAAAACAAAAATTCTGTATTTTCACAATCAATATTCGTAAGCGTTGGTTTAATAAACATATTACTCGAATATAAAAGAGCCAGGTGAGTATTTAAGGCATAATGTTTTTTTACGTAAAACAAAACTGTTAAATTACATAGATTATTAACAAATAAATGATGTAATGCAAAGAGTAATAAACAGATAATTTACTCTTTGCAGATAATTTACTTTTATATGAGTTGTATATTAAACCATTAACTTACAAATAAATATTTTCTTCATTTTCTCCCCAACATCTTACTGAATTTTTCCCATAACTTTTATTTTTAGCTAATTAAAGAATAATGAATATTTCATCAGTATGCATATTTAAAATATGGTAACCATATAAACATTTTCTCTATCCTAAAGTGTTTTCTGCTTTCATTCCATTTTGCACGTTAATTTTAGATGCGTTATTTCATCAAGATTACATCAGAATTCCATTACACATAACGCCCACACAGCTAATAATCCTCTTCGTAGAATTCATCAGTAGCTCATGCAAGGAATTAAAGATAAGCCTTTCATGGTCACCAGGGCTGAACAGTTAAACTAGTAAACAACAGAAGCTTGACTTATATTCGCATTTCACCGATCTGGATGTACGGGTGCTTCCGTGGATTTACTAATGTGTATCGTAAATAGGAGACAATTTTGGGATGAAGACACCCCTCTCTCTAAGCCGGCAACCCTAGTACTCAACCAAATGCAAGTGTATTCATACAAATACTTAGGATTAAAAATTTTGTAAATGAATTATTCTTTTATGGGTAGTATTTAAGTCTAGGTGTCAAAAAACTGACGACAATAAGATTTTCAGGTTTCAAAACACCGATAACAACAACAGAATAAAGAAATCGAATTGCTAATTTGAATTGTTGGAAATCATACTTTCTCTGACTCAGTTTAGGATTTCTTTTATTAATGTCTATGTTAGTAAATCTCTTGTTGTTACTGTCACTAATACTTGTATAAAATCAAAACAAACCCACGAAATTCATCGTGTCAAAGAATCAAGATTGCGCCTGTCGTTGCCCAGAACCTTGGGCACCATATAGGTGACAGTACGACTTTGCAGTGTTCCATCCCCAATTCTGAAGGAGAGCACCACGGGGAGAAACGAGTCCGAGGTTGTCCCACACCTCTTTCCCTACGACCAACCTCTAGCGAGAACTTTCGGACCATCGCAAATTCAGAGGGACCCACGCCGCATAGACACTATACATTTACAAACATCCATGCCTTCTCCGGAATTCGAAGCCGCACCCTTCGATACGGTAGTCATTAACCATTACCCCGGTTCGGCAATCATTAGTTAATAACATTTAAAAGCATCTTTCTTAATTCGATAAACCTTATCCTAAAAGTACAAATGCAAGATGAGGAATCGAGCTAAAAGAGTATTAGAAATTGTATATAAACGTTTCTTTCATCCCTCAAGAATTTTAATCCTTTCAATATATATACACGATCGTATGCACCCTAATTTTAACTAACATCAATTCAATCTTTTCTTTCATATTAAGTTGTACTATATTTATAAATTCTTCATTTGCGTTTAGTTAGAAAAATGAGTGACACTTTTTGCATACTTTTCGACAGAAAAAAAATATGTTAGTATCTACGAAATAATTAATTTCCTAAAGAACTCCACAACCTCACACAGTAGAATAAGAGAATCATGGGGTTTTCCCGATTTACAGGACAAGGTTTATGCCACCGAGAGCTTTTAAGTGATCATCGCAATCCCCATACCTGCCACCATTTGACCTTTCTTTTCCTATTGAAACATTTAAAAGCGTTGACTTGTGCCGAGTAATATACCCATCTGTAAAAAGTTGTAAAAAAAAGGATTTAATTTTGAACTACATTGGATGACATTTATTTTCGGACACTTGTATTGTCGAAATTTATTTGCGGGAATATTGTATAAAATATTGAAATATTGACCAGATTTTTTCAGATACATTATTTTTTCTTTATTTAACTTTCTTGTTGGAAAACAAATATCATCAAAATATCTCTTGAAATAAAATCAATTATTCAAAAAGTGTTAATCGGTAATTCACAGTCGGACGCTCGAACGTTCTCTGAAAGCTTTCGGAATACGATGTCCTTTATCCGCCATTTCATCGTTTTCTTCGTTTAGAAGTGAAACAAATAAAGTGTATTGTTTCAAATGGCAATACATCACGCGAGCTACTCGTATTATCTCGATTTTGAAATTTATGTTAATTTAGCAAAATATTAACATTTCTATATCTGAAATGAACATGGCAAATTTAATTATTCATCATTTTAAATATTGTAAGCTATTTTAATTATCTCCTGAATCCTTTATTCAAAGCGTTCACCAATGTTTGACATTATAAAATGATGGAAATTGTAGAACTGCTGAAAATGCACTGAAGTGAGGAACCCATTCCAAGATAACACCTAGGAATCTGAGATTTATCTAATGAAAAGTCAAACAAGATTTAAAAATTAATGGTATAAAACTTACAGCAGATTTAAAGAACATTTTGTAATAAAAAATTACCCCTGAAGTTATTAAAAGAGTTATTAAGGCATATGGTTACAATGGGCGATCAGCTAGAAGGAAGTTGGTCAACAAGAAAAATACACCTAGCTTCTTTTAAAATCCATGGTTAGCTAAGATTTATCATATTGAAAACAATTTCATTTGCAGATAAGTCATAGAATGTATTTGGATCTGATGCACAGATTACCGTATCAGGCGAAGAATTAAATCCAAACACTTACTGCCTGCTGTTAAGCACGGCGGTGGTTGTATTGGGTTCCTTTATTCAAAGCGTTCATCTATGTTTGACATTATAAAATGATGGAAATTGTAGAACTGCTGAAAATTGGGTTGGTGGCAGAGCCTGTGAATATCCCTGAAAGAAAGGTTTAGAGATATTTCCTGGCTCTGCCACCAACCCCATACAACAAGCACTGTGCTTAACAGCAGGCAATAAATTTTGGGATTCAGTTCTTCACCTGATACGGTAATCCGTTCATCATATCCTTAGAGATATTCACTGGCTCTTTGATGGGAAACTTAGCTTTTATAGAAAATAATATGGATCGGCATAAGCATATAAATATTTTTAATGAAATCCTAAAAGCATCTACAAGAAATCATTGAATGCAAAATAGATTCAATTTCTCTCAGAATAGTGATTCTAAACATGCAGCACTAAATAGTTGCTTGTGGTTATTATACAACCGTCCTGACACTAAGAAAGCTTCTGCTTTATTTTCGGATTTAAACGCGCTCGAATGTGTACGGAGTGGGTTGGGAAAATGAGTAAGGATGCATATTTCTTCGAATGCTCTATTAAAAGTAATTGTTAAGGAAAAATGGAACAAAATAAAACATTCTTACCTGAAAAAATTAGTTGAATCTCTGGCAAAACGCATGAAAAATGAAATTTTACCTAAAGGATATCAAATCAAATATTGAAGGTCTCATTATTTTAATGTTTTTATAAATTTTAAACTGTTTTATGTGAGTTCATATTCAAAATTTTTAACAAATTATTTGAAAAAAAAACATTTGAAATATTTTTTTCAAGCAAGCAGGTTTTATAAAAGATGATCGGTAGTATATGTGAAAAAAAGTCATTTCAATGATATTTAGCAGTTGACAATTGCAAGTAAAATTGGAAAATACAAGCGTCAGAATACGAACGTTAGCCACTGTAATTCTTTACGGCAAAGTAAAGTAAAGATAGAAGTGTTTGAAGCATCAAAATTTCACCATTGGTCATGCAGGGTGTAGTACCATTGCACTATTCATCAAACTAGAGTAGCCCAACTGCGCAGCACCACTCCAACTTGTTGAATATCCCGGTGGATAGCAGTGGAGAGGACTTTCGGCTCGGTAATATTTTAAGTGCTCCATGACGCACAGGCGCTATAAACAAGCATTCATGACATCTGCGGCATTCGAAACTGCACTCAATGAAACGCAGCCAGAATCGCTACCCACAGTACCGATTAAGGCACAAGGCAAAGCACAGGAGACCCATCTACTTAGTTCATTCCACTTTTAATAAAGCATACTGAGGTAGAATCTAAGTGTCTGTTTTTCCTGACACAGCATTCACAAGCATTTCTGGATTTATGACTTTTTAGCATCTCCTTTCAGCAAAGACATACATTTGATTTATTATGAGCCTTGGTTTAAGTTAAGAAACATAAAGTTCTATAGAATGTAGGGTTTATATTTATTTTAACTAACATTTATTTTAAGTTAAACCTATCTTTCCTGTCAAGCCTTACTTTCCCCTGGAACTGGCAATGCCAGAGTATGTAAATTTTTGTAGAACGCGCAAGGATTCAAATTATCAGCGGAAGTATTCTGAGTTAAATAGAAAGGAAACGAGTTCGAGGTGTGCTTTCTTACTTCACGAGCGCGGAGGTAGTTAGTCAGAAATTGAAGAACCCCGCGTTTCGGCCTGTGTGCTTGCCTCGGAGAATTGTTAATCGTTCAACGTGATATTCAAAGTTTGCTGAATTAGCAGCGGTATTGTAAAACGCGGTGAGTTAGTTAGTTACGTTTAGAGAGCCTCGTAGTTCGAGTCTTGTTATTATTTCTTTTCAGGTTCTTATTTTTATTTGACCGCCGGGTGGCGTAGTTTGTGAGCGTCAAGAGGCACGCAATTGTAATTTCTTAAGTTGAATAAAAAGGGACTTAAACCCTTCGCAGGACTCTGTCTAATTTCCAGTTTCAGCAGTCACCACTTTGTTGCGTGCAGGTTGGAGGCGCGCAACTGTACAAGCAACTAGAAAAAAGGATTTGTATTTTGGATTATTTTATAAAGACAAAGCACAAATGATTCATCTGCGTATCTCCATCCTGGTTTTGACAAAGGATATCAGAGGTAAAGAATATGAGAGTCTCATTCCCTGGCACCATCTTCAAAAGGACTTCCGAATCAAAGGATTTTAGGCAATCTCTTTCTATATGTAACAAAATATGAAGCCGAAAAGGGGCTTTAAAAAAGATTACTGACTTTTTGTCTTCTTATTAATCTTGCTGCCGTAGTGACTTTGTTAGACCCAAGAGTTTTAAAATTACACTTTTCTTTGATGAACTCCCAAAGATACTAGAACTTTAACGGAATTCAGTATATATATAACTTAGCTCCCTTTCTTAAAATTTAAATCTTAGGTTTCGAAACATCCAAATTCAGCCAGATCATTCATTTATTATTATCCATGCTCCTTTCACAGAATTTTTTAAATAGCATATTTTTATCTTTTTTTCTCCCCACATTTTTGTATTTTTCATTTCAATCATCAAAGCTTCTCATTTTCTCATTCATCGTTTTCTTTCAGATGAGGTTCATACTAATTGTTCCGAAAGAGAAAGATTGTTTAAATGCTCATCAAATTGCAAAGACGATTGCGTGTAAGTATTTTTTCACCTTTTATTTGTGTGTGTTAGTTATGGTTAACTAGATAGATTAATTTTTAACAGAGAGTATACTAATATATTGAGAAATATACTGATATACAGGATAATTCATAAGACATCTGCAACGAATGTGGAAGGTACCAAAGTAAGTAAATTTTGTAATGGAATGTGTATGAAGGAATGGCGTGCTGAGACCCCACCTCCTAACAGAAGGAAGCCAGGACTCAACTCTTTATCATGATTAAACATTTTACCATATGTTAACACCAAATGATATTCATGCAATAAAATTAAACGCCTCTAAAACACAACCCAGATACTTTTTTACACGGCAATAAATTCAGAGCACAAAAATTAATGTTTCAATATTATCACTTTTCAAGTATATGAATATGAAACACTCAGTAAATGTCCGTATAAAAAGAATGACTATTTCCCACTTAACAGTAGCAGTTATTACAAACATGTCATTTTGTAAGCATGTTGAAACACTCAACTCCTTATCATGATTAAACATTTTACGATATGTTAACACCAAATGATATTCATGCAATAAAATTAGTCGCCACTAAAAAGCAACCCAGATACTTTTTTACACGACAATAAATTCAGAGCACATAATTTAATTTTTCAACATTATCACTTTTCAAGTGATGTGAATCTGAAACACTCAGTAAATGTCCATATCAACGGAATGACTAATTCCCACTCCGGAGCTAGGTCACTTTAAATATCATTTAACATAGTTGAATTTTCAGTATGCAGAGTCTTATACATTGTTCATAAATTTGATGTTATAGGTAATTGATCGCTTATTAGTATCATACCTTATCCCCCTTTTGTTTATAATTTTTCTTCGATTGCTTTCTCTCCTAAACAAACTTTCACCCTTTCAGATTCTCTATACAGATTTTAATGACATGTAAGATGCGCTATCAGGAAATTGAGGGATAACACATCCTTTTTTGAAACATGGCCAAGAAATTGGTATTTTAATCGGTTTTGCCGATTCCTCATCATACATTTCCATTTCTTGTGCTTCTTCATCCACTTAAAAATGCAAGTCACACACCTGTAAAAAAATATTTTAAAATTAACTTGTGATTATAATAGTTATATGTATGTTAATATTTAGTAACAGAAGCCAAGGAGCCCTATGATTTAAATGAGTACTTTGATAAATAAACACCAATTAAAAAGCCAGCAATATGATTTCAGTTGCATATATAATTTCTTAAGCAATCTGTGGTGTCTAGAATGCTCATCATGGTGATTACAGCTTTATTTACATTTAAAGAAATTTATATAATTGAGATAATTGCTTATAACAAATACTGAGTATAAAATATAAAAAATTACCTTAATTACATTGATGCCAAACTTATATGCATCATTATGAAAATTTTAAAATGAAACCTATTATCATCATTTGTTAGTTACTTGGCATACAAATTACGATGAATCTGGAATAATTGTAAAATCTGCCTACACAATATAGTGGAAAGTATTTACAATTTATTGGCTTTTGAGGAACTACTAAATTTATGATTCTTCCTGTTTTATGGAACTTTATTTCATTCATATTTATCTTTATTGAAATGAAGAATTAGAGAAAATTAATATTACAGTTTTCATGATTAAAATTTTTCACATTGAAGAAAAATGTTTCTTAGAAATATTTAAAACAGAAATAATTAAGATCTTTTAACCATAAACTTTTTATCAACAGATCAAAATCTAATAACAAAAACATAAACATCACAGATGTATCAATAAAAATAATAAAAAGTTGTTAAAAACACAAAACATAAAAAATGCAATAAAATCGAACTTACTTCGGTATGTTTGGTAAGCTGAAAGCCATCTTCTTTCTTATCCATTTTAGTTCAGGCTCAGATGAAAAGTAAAACACGGCAACTTTTGGGCCATATTTAAAATTCTTACGGCATGTGGTTATATCACATTTATGAGGCATCCTATAAAATTATAAAATCGCGAGAAAATATAAAATTACACGTTTGTCGCTCACGCAAATAATCGCACCATGTTTGTTGCTAACCTACGGGGCTTTGAGACTGTTGGAAGGAAAGAGGTGGGTCAAACGACTACATGGGACGTCAGAGCTTCCTCTCCCTTCAGTATCCTGGCTTTTTTCTGTCAGGAGGTGTTGGCTGGGGTGGCGAGAGAGCCATTTAGCGGTAGATAAAAGCTTTCCGCTGACATAAATTGTTATTAACCATGGATATATCGAGCAACTTGCATCGCTACATGAACTTGGATATCGCCAAATATGCATTTCATCTATGTGGCTGCAAACGAAATCAGAGTAGCTGCTCAAAGAAGGTAGTCAGAAACCATTCTCTGATACCTCTAACTACATATACAAAATGCATAACGATGAGTTTCGCGTTAGTGTAGTGATGCATACCCCTCAAAATTCGCTCAGGAAATGACGATTTACGCCATTAGCACGTTTTTACTTACCACTCAACAGCATCCTACACCACTTAAATACGCCAGTTCTGAACACCAGTGCCATTATAAAATCTGCTTATTTCTATCCTCTCTACCTACTTCGGTATGTTTCCTATGTATATATTTTAATCATCCTTTATAATATTTGCATACCCCTCAAAATATTGAGAATCCTTTATTATTATTATTATCCTTTATTAATTATATTTATCCTTTAATAATTATAAAAAGTAAATACTTAGCTTTAAAAATTCATTTACTATTTTCGCTTGACACAAAATTCAATATCTTTCTCTAGAAATACCTAAAATTTAATTATCATAAAGTATCTAAGAAACATTTGGACAAATTATCGGGTAATTGTTTATTTCCACTACTTAAAAATAAATAACTAAGAATCTGAATACAAGTTAACAGTAATGTTATGTTACATTTTACTCTGTTTCCTTTTTATTAGCCCAAAGGAGCGTTAGCCCAGGAGGGCTATTAGTCTCGAAACGGCATTTTGCGTTGAATCACTCTAAAAGTCTGACTCACTTTTCAAAATGTTGCCACAGAATACGAGTATTATCGCCCTGTATTATATTTAAAGAAATTAATTAATGAAGAATCTGCATATGTATGTATGATTTTCAAACTGTGAAAAAAAGAGATGGTCCTTAGAGCTGTAACGCGGACCTCTGGAATACGCGTCCAGCGTCCTGACCACTACACTACGAAGGCATTCTAAAACGGCGAGAAAAATACCTTATATACTTCCCCTTTTAAAGGGCGACTGGGGATTTTAGGACACCCAATCGCCAAATCCTGGGTGTAGAGAATCACCTTTCACCACCCATTTAGTTCGGGCGCCACTGTAGAGTCATTAGGTTATTTTTAAAGCATGAGTGATGTAAAATGAGCAACGTCCTCGTCGGTAATCGAACCACGGACTTCTGGAATACGCGCCCAGCGTGCTGACAACTACACTACGAAGACATGCGAAGAGAGCGGGAGAATTCCTTGAGCTGCCGTAAAGAACATTTTATTGTCATATGACCCACTTCCTCTTTCGTAAATATAAATAAATGAGTCGAACATGTGGTGACGATTATTGTTAAGACACTTAAAGAGGGAGTTTATGAAGTAGAGACACAATGTATCTCAATGTAAAAAAAAAAAAAATCAAATCTTTAGCGAAATGCATTTTTCTATTGGGCGGAACTCTTATTCTGCAACTTTAAGAACTTGCTCTTCTTTTTGTAAAATGTTTATAACTAATTTTCTTAGTATTACTAATAAATTTTACTTTTTAGCTAATTATATTTAACAGCTTAGCTGAATTACATTCATTATAACTTTGTAGAGAATACAGAAACAAAATGTTATTAATAAATAAATCTCCGAACTTGACCAGTGTTTCTAAGAACATATTCAAATAACGTTATTGACTATCAATTACAGTCATTATTTCAAAGACACATGTTTAAACAAAAGACAAAACCGCACATTCCAGGAGTAGTGGATGGTCGCCTTAAATAGATTTCACTGCATTTCATAATATATGCATTTCCTTTCAGGAAAATAAAATATTATTTTGAAGTCCAAGAAAGATATGAGAGAGAATATGTAAGTATTACTACAAATTAGTGTAAATATATATGTAATATATATTACGTTTGCTTTATATTTATGTCTGTAGTATTTTATTATATTGCCGGGTAAGTTAGGGCATGTTTTACAACTTCTTATTAGTTTTGACAGCACTAAAGAAATTAAATTTCAAAATTTTATAAACTTGGCAAATAAGATGGTATTTGGTGACAGGTGTTAAAGTTTATTTGAGCGCAAAATACCGAAATATCGTGATATCAATACTCATTCCTTAAAGGACATAAAACAATTTAGCACGTTTCATTTTCGGTACAAGATCAGTCGTGTTTCAATATCTTGCTTTCGACATTCAGAGCAAAAGGTTCAATATAACTATGACTTACTACTTTTTGTCCCCCCCCCAACACACACATACTGGCGGGTACTCAGCTGACCTATGCTTGGCCCCTACTAAGGTTGGAAGTAGTTTCCACTTTACGTAAACATTCTCTTTCGATTTTCGTATGATAAAATTAGTATTGAAAGGGGAGACGTATGCAAGTAATTACGGTTATGCGTTCAGTCTAAATACTCATTATGAAAATGAAAAAAAACGATTGAAAGAAATCGGTGTTTGATAGTAGCTAAAAGGAATATGAAAAGAAGCCAAAGAATTTCAAGAAAAGTACCCTTAAAAAATATATCCATATCTTTTAGAAGGATGGAAATAATTTTGAATTCGTTGCGCTTTCTTAGGAAGTCTGTGACTGCAAAACGAATGTCTGTTTTCAGAATCACCAGGAATGAAGGTTTATAAAATGTGCTGTTCTCAGTTTAAAAGCTTTGAATTCTACTTGCTTGATTTAATCGCATCCTAATATAGATATTTTAAATGAACTCTCCTTTGGTTAATAAATTATAAATTTTCTATTGAGATACTTTTATTCTGAATTGACTGACTGACTAACACACGAGGCCCATCAGTCAAGGAAGGAATGCCTTCGTGGAGAATTTTCCTATGGAAATCAGCTCGTGTCCATGTATAATTACAAATGACTGTGCTAATATTACATATCAATTAAAAATAGCAAACGTCTTATTTTTCTGATGTCTCTAATGGAAGAGACGATTACGCATTTTAATGGAAAATAGATGGAATAATGGAATGGAAGATTTCTTTTTTCTACTTTTAACATTTGAATTCTTAAACTTAATGTATTATTCTGACTGGAAGTTTTTGTAAAACATATTTTTACTGCATGAAAATTTAGTTTTCAGCTACGAAATTAGTTATTTGTCCATTATACAGTCAGCTCTCAAGTTACCGGAGCAACACCGAGAAAAAAATGAGAACAGATCAAGAGACATATGAAAGAGAAATAACCAATACTATCCTTAACAGAAAATTATTATTAACAATGTACTTGTGTTTTCAAGTAATGTGTTCCACAGACTTCTTCTCCTTGATCGTGTTTCTCTCCCATTTCAGGGTGCACTTATTGCTTGTTTTTGTTTGCATTATATTCTTATATTTCGGTAGGAATAAATTGAAGAATAATAGCTTACACTATAATTTTTTATGACTGAGCAATTTACTCTTAACAGATAATTTAACAATTTTTATATATTCAAAAGGGACAGTTAAATTCTGTACTGTTGTAAATTAAAACAACTCCTAAACACCACGACATTTACTGCCACTGCCGTTATCACACAAACTTTTGTTTCCCTTATTATATTTTCCGAAAATACTTAAATTTTACGCTCATCATCTGTGATAGTAATCATTTTTTTCGTTCTGGAATAAATCACTTTAACTATTTACAAGAACTCGAAAAACTGGTCTCCAGTAAATCGGGAGTTGACTGTTAGGCTTTGTTCAGACACGGCTTTTAGTCAAAAGCCCGAAAAGCCAGTGTTTGGTATAAGGCTCCATTCACACTATGGTTTTTCGGCAACATGAGATATAAGTTGCTGTTCCTCCAGACCTTGCTAAAACATAATGCTTGATTAAGAATTTTATCTACAAGTTCTAACTTTTCAACTTTATGTCAACTTGGCATGAGAACCTACCAAGCATAGTGATGGAAACACAAAGTGACATTCGTTTGATGTTTTCATTCAATCAGTTACATATTTATACATATGCAACTTTACCTTTCCTGACTGACTACAGCATAAACCCTGTTAAACGGATTTGAACGGATTTTTAATGACTTTTATGCATTAAACCACAAAACCTTATGATAGAAGAGCTTTTGTCTGAATGAAGCCTTATAACACTTCAAAAGCATTTGCTTCTCAGAGATCTCTCCTCTGTGTAACTTACAAAATTTTACAAATATAAGAATCTGATTTTTAGAATTAACAGATATAGCTGCCTTTTTTTGGTTTAAAATCCATTATCAATTATTGAATAAATTATGAAATCGAATTCCGTATTCGGACATCTTTTTGACTTTGTATATCAATAAAAGTGTTACCTTAAATATTAAATTCCAGAATTCAAATTTAAAACAAAACTAAGAGCTTACATTCAGCTTTCCGTTACAGAGTACAATACATAATTGCTTATGGAGGTAGATAACATATAAAGAAAAGAAAAACGTTTAACACGGATAAGACTATGTACATGAACAATTGTGTGATGTTACTTTACACAAAGTAATGTTATGATGTTACATTACTTTGTGTTCACTATTCTTTTAAAAACGTTTTTATAGTAAACATATTTGGTATATGAAGATTGTAAATACACGATTAATATATTTAATTAATTTTTCAGGAAAATCCCATTGAAACAATGGAGGAAGCGTAAGCTTTTTTTAATTCCATATTATTCTTCTAATAATTGCGAGTGAATAGCGCAAACCTTTTATTATAATCTTCAAGGATTAAAAAAAGAGTTAGGAAATATATGAGACCCAATGATAAAAAATATATACATCATATAAAAATTTTCTCGCTTAAGAATAAGGAACTGTGATTACGTCTCAATTTTTTTAAATATATATAAAACTTTTCAGAATATTCGTGAAACAAATTTGTTGACTTCAAAAGTGTTCAGAATATATCAGTCGATACAAGTTTCTAAGTGAAATTCTAAGTTTACTCCAAAAATATCTTTCATTTGTCACTGAAACGATCGGTGCTTTTAAATGTTACAAAACTAACGAAAATTGTATTTCACTTAAATACATGTGCGCTTTAATTTTTCCTAATTCTGAACTCGAGTCCAAATTACATTAAAACGTCTGCCTGTAAAAGAGTCCATGTAAATTTTAATTGATTTTTTAAATAATTTATTTTTCTTTCAAGTAGATCACACTCAGTTCAAAATTCTGAATCTAATTTAATTTGAAATGAGATTTTAGAACGAATTCAGATTACATCAGAATTTACATTTTTAGAAATTTTCAAACCAAGTTTGATTTGAAATGCGAATTTACAAATATTCCGCTTAAAATATGCAATGCTAATAGTTTTTTATTTCATTTTATTTTAAAAAATAAGCATCTAGAAAAGTCTTTATTGTTTTTTATTGCATATTAAACATCTAGAAGATGTGTTTATTGTTTTTACAACTTAAACATTTGAAAGAAATGACCATTCATTTTTTATCAAGTGGATTTCTTGTCCTGACAAAATAGAAAGAATTGCCACTTGAAGGAAGAACTTGTAGCAGCGGTCATGAGCGAGCGATCTAGTAAAATAAATGTACAACTATGTCTTAAACAATAATTAATGAGTAACTTTTGCAAGTTACATTAATTTATAATGAAACATTACATTTTTTAATTACTTGGTTTTGCCATTTTAAACAGCTCATTTAATGAAAGAATTCGCATTCTTTTCCTGTTCTAAGCTAACAAATCTATCATTACTTTTTAGCTTAAAACTGTTTGAAGAATTTGTGTACCAAAATCAGACTAGAGTTTTTCTATCTTACGTTTCTTATATATTTTTAACTTTATTCTTTCTTTTTTTTTTTTTTTTTCTTTTTTTTTTTTTTTAGTGCTTGTACTGATAAACTCTTTGAAGTGTTAATCTGTACTACGAAGTCTGCAGATTGTAATTTAATTATTTTATTTATTTTGTTTTAATTTTTAAAACAGCCAAAACTTTTCAGCCGAAGGAAGGGAGAGGAACAATCAACTGCTGCTTCAAAATTCATTTGAATCACATGATCGTAATGGACCTATTATAATTCCTCCAATTATTAAAAAAAGAAGATTAATTTACTATTTTATCAAAAATGCATGCTTAAATTCTTTTTTAAAAATTTATCCTTGATGAAAATGGAAACACCATTTTTATAATCATTTACTAAGTCTTCTTTGAACTTCAAGAAGAATTTGAAACTTAATCAATAATAAGTCATTATTTTACTTTTTCCAACATTTAGAATCAACGTTAAATGTATTGCTAGATTAACAAAATAGATTTCTTTTGTCATATTTTCAAAACCAGTAAAAATTTCTCCTCTTGCCACTATTCAAGAAAATAAATTTATTCATTTTAATCGTTCCTTATACTCCCATTTTATAATGAGCCTGGTGTCCTTTTTTTCATAAATTTCAATGAATATTTTATTTTGAAAGAATGAACCTAAAGTTACAACCTAATAATTTAAAAAAGCATTACTTTCTATTATTTTTAATGAAAATATTGCCTCTAAAATATTATATGCTATCAATATAAACAAAAGAATACAATTAATTGAAATATTAATAGTAACACAAGATGACACCCCTAATAGTCCTATTATATGTAGATAGTATGAATATTTTTATATCAAAACTTTAAAGAAAAAAATAAATGTCGTTATCTTATGGTTTAACAATTGGTTTCTGAAAATCTTTAAAACTTCTCAAATTGAAAAATCATAAACATGATTTCAATCGTCTCCATTTTTAAAAATATCAGCTTTAATTTAAATTAGACTATATTTATACAGGGTGTTTCACAGATCATGCGGCAAACTTGGAGAGGTGTTTGAGCGTACTAAAACATGCATTTTTTTATAGGAATGTAGGGTCTAAAGTGACGGGTTAAGGCAGGAACGCAAAAAAACGACACGAGAGGAATATGTGTTCATGTACAAAATCAACGCAAAGTGCTTCATTGTAGCAATGCAGTATTCACAATAAATGTTCAAAATTGCGACCACCAGCAGTAATACATGCTTGGCAACGTCTCAGAAGAACATTTTGAAAAACGACAGACATTTCGCGCACGCTTGCAGCTGCAATGGATAGTCGTGCAACGAGGTCCTCCAGTGAGCCAACGGGAGTTTCGTAATAGATGCTCTTCAGGTGGCCCCATAAAAAAATCCAAGCTGGATAAATCTGGCGAACGGGGTGGCCATCGAATGGGTCCACTACGGCCAATCCCTCGGCCCGGAAATGTCCCATCAAAGTAATTGCGGACCCACACTTGGTTATGGGCAGGTGCACCATCATGCTGGAACATTCTGCAGCAATTCCAGTAGCACCTCTTGCAGAAAAATATAACATAAGCATATACGTGCATAATAAATATACGTGCAGGTAAAAGGTATGGGCCTATGAGTAGTCGTTAACAATACCCAGGAAAGTTGCCTCGTCCGTGAATAGCACATCCGATGGGAAATCTGCCTGTGCCGCACACTGCTGCAAGAACCAATGACAGAAATGAACTCGAAGAGGGTAATCTGTCTCTTGCAAGGCTTGGACTCTCTGCAAATGGTATGGGTGCAAACCATTTTCATGCAATACTCTCCAAACAGTGGAATGGCTCAGCTGCAGACGACGTGCAATAGCTCTTGTACTTGTCTGAGGTGATTCATGCACAATGTTCAAGATGGATTCTTCAATGCGAGGTTGTCGTGCACTTCTTCTTCCATTCCTAGTGTCAAAGTTGGCTTTAAATGACCCGTTTTCAAACAGAGACCGATGCAAACTCTCGAACATTGTGTGCTTCGGCATACGCCTTTTCGGAAAGCGTTCCTGATACAACCGTAGCGCTGTTCTGCTGTTCCCATTAGCAGCACCATACACGAGATGCATGTCAGCTTTTTCGCTATGCGTAAACTCACCCATCACACTCGACATCAGAGTTGGGAATGATTCTCTGATGTATCGGATCGTGGTTTGTCCGACTCACTACCGCCCTCTACCGCTGCATTGCCAGCCAATCACAGCTGTAAATCCTATTACTGTTAGTGTTCCCTTTTTTTGAACATTTATTGTGAATACTATATTGCTACAAAGAAGCACTTTGCGTTGATTTTGTACATAAACACATTTTCCTCTCCTGTCTTTTTTTTTTTTTCCGTTCTCGCCTTAATCCGTCACTTTAGATCCTACATTCCTATAAAAACATGCATCTTTTAGTACGCTGCACCACCCCTCCAAGTATGTCCAATGATCTATGAAACACCCTGTATAATTTCATTTTAACCTTTTATGTGTCATTGTATTATTTTGCGCAATGTCTATGTATAATTACGTTATGCATTGCTCTATTATATCATTTTTCTTTGTATTAATATCAAGTATTATTTCATTTTTATTTTTATTCTATTGTTATTAAGTTGGTTTAATTTCTTTTTATAGGAGTACTAACGTAGTTTAATTATCCATGGTATATTTTACTATTTTCATTATAGTAGTATTTGTATTTTATATCCTTTCTTTGCACTCTCCAGACCTAGATATTCATTTTGCCACTATTGTCGTTTTTATATATGATGTATATATTATGTTTTTATTGTTGAATTGTAGCTCCTTGTATTATGCGTTTATAATGTTGTCCTTTAATTAGACTATGCTGAACGTAGAGGAGCCTAGTGAACTCTGTAGCGACTTATCGCTGGGTTCACATATATAGCACCCTTTCATTCACTCAAAGAATTATTCAAAGATAACCTCTTCTTGGGCATACAAGAAAGCCTCCACTCGGATTGAAATCAAGATAATAAAAGTTGGAAACTAATCTAATACTAAACTAAACTGACTTGGCCGGAGCTAAACATAATTACCTAGCGTAGTTGGCCCTTAATTTAATTTAGCCAGCGATTATCAACAGTGACGTACAATGCGGTCGAGCGTAGTAGGTTTACTGACGAAGTAGCCTGATGGCAAACACACGCCACTGAGGACTCCTCAGCTGTCTACTGAAGAAAGCTGAACCTTCCTTAAATACTAGTTCTACCTCATTTGCATTCAGCGCTATTCTAAAAACTCATTCTGGTAAGGATCTGTAAGTGGAAAACAAGAACTGAAAGGAAAGAGTTTCAAAATTAAAAATAACTGTTATAAAATTAAAGTGCACCTTACAAGTTGTTTACTTACATCTGTAAGCCTCCGTGGAACACGGAGAGTTTTGTATTTGTTTTCTTAATTAAAAAAATTGATAAATCTATTTCAGTATTTATAGCTGTTTATATCTCACGATCAAGATTATCAAATAAAAGTTATCAACATTATCAAATATCAATAATAGTGATAATTACGATAGATGTAGTACTCCCATTATAAATGTGTAATTGTAATCTTTCGATCTGGCCTTGCATGCTTGCTTCACATTCCTTCCCAGTTCTAGGAAACTGAAATTTATCTACATTTAAAATATAGCCATATATTCATTTGTTCTTTAAAATATTTATCTCTTCTCTATACCTGATACTTTTTACATTTCAGTGGTCTTGTAAAAGTGGAAGTCTACCTAGATAGTTTAGAAATTATACGCCTTCAACACAGGCCACAATTCAGGGTAAAATACTTCGTATTTCTTTTTCTTCTTTTTTTTTTTTATTACTTCGTAATTTATTTAGATACTTTATACCTGTAAGTGAATGTTTGTGCAGAAGCCGATTATAGACGGGATACGCTGAGTTCGCAAACGCTTTGCTGTCTTAAAAGCATATTTACCATTACAAGTGTAGGATTTCAAATGAATGTAGTTTGTATTTTATCCGTTCTTTGATTTAATTTTATTTACTACTTACTTTTGACCACTAATAATTATTGTTTAGTTTCTTTGAAGGGACAACAAAAAACAATATTACAGAATTAGCAAAAATATATATTTGTGTAGTTAAGTAGGCTTATTAAAAAAAAAAGAAGGACTTGTTATTTACATGAGTGTTATTTTATTTAAGTTTCAAACATCTTTCCAGGAAATAAATAAATACTTTAGAATATTTTTATTAGTCTTATATAGACCGTGATACGCTGGTAGCGTAATAGTTTATTTTGACGCTTAAGCGAATATTTTATTGGTACCCTCAGTGGAACACAAGAGTTTGGAATTCTAAAGCATAAAATGGAAGGTAAAGAAGCTATTAAATTTGAAAGGAAGATTCATAAAGATGCTTTTACAAAATCCTTCAACGTTTTAGAAGTAATTATAGAGAAAAGTGAGATAGATTCTTCTGAATTACAGTCGGAGCATAATGTTTTTATTTCGAAAATTCAACGTTTGGTAGATAAGTACATACGTTTCCTTAGTACACTGACAGAAAACGAAATTGAAGCATAATTTGATGCTATTGAAGATTATAGTGATATGGCCGTCATAATCGAAACTAAAGTGAAAGATATTCTTCAAAATCTACAAAACTTAAGTACTTCAAGTTTAATTTTGAATGAATCGTGTTCTATTAGACATTTTAGTAGTTTAAAATATAACTACTGTGAGATATTGTAATAATGTACGAATATCTCTGAGGAAATTTCAGAGTTTTGTTTCATTTCTTGGGATAAGAATAAATTTTAATAACTTCTTATCGACTTGTGCATTCAATCCATCACGAACCCGTGCACACGCAATAATAGTTATATCTTATGAAGAACTTTAATTAATTTCTTTTAATTTTAAAGTAATTTTAAAATTTTAAAGGAACTAACATAAATTATAATCAGGTAGTAAACTTTATTAGGCAATCAGCTAGCTTTCAAGGTAAATGTATAAAGCTTTCGTGTTAAATTTAAGAAATTTTCCTTCATTCGTAAGCCTGCATTTTCTGCTGTAAAAGTAAATCAATAGCAATAAAATCTGCAGTCATACCTTTATTACTAAAGTAAATTTTAAAAATATTTGCCTTTTAACTATAATAAAGCATCGAGGCGGAACGTGTATATCCATGTCTTTAATAAGGGACTAATTAAAAATTTCATAAATCCGCCTTCTCTGTTTCTGTAACTTACGGAAAAATCTGACAAAGCGAAATTTCCTGTTCTTATGAATCTACAGTATTGATAAAAAACATAAATTAATTTCGGGTAATTTTTCCTCCCCTTGTTTTCTAAATAATTAGGAAAAGCCGACAAGATAAAAAAAAAAAAAAAAAAAAAAAAAAGAAGAAGAAGAAGAGAAGAAGAAGAAGAAGGAAACGGAAGAAAAATTCTGATCTACAATAACCTCAAACATTTTTAGCTTAATACAAGGGACAACGTCCGGGCTAAATCTGAAGACAATTAAAAAATTACAGAAAAGGATAACAACCTATATTATAAATAACAGTAAAATACTATTGACAAAATTCGTCTGTATTTTCATACAGTTTATTCTAGAAAATGTGTTTATTCGGTCTGTGAATTTTCAAAACTAAACAAAATATTTCAAGAACAAGCAACAAGAAAAATTTTTTGTTGTTGTTATTGGGGCACGTAACTCTTGTATCTCCATGGACTATAATGCAAAATAAAATATTTATTAAGACATTATGATTATTAATTGTTGTACACTTCATTTAATAATATTGAGCAATTTACTTCCAGTGGATGATTTAATAATTTATGTGTCAGATTATTTGCAAATGAATTACTTCCTGCCATGAATGAAAACAACTCTCAAGTACTACGCCAAATCATATATTATCACTACATTTATTCAATGCAGTTTTCTTTTCCTTTCTGTATTTTCCAAGATTCTGCTGTTTTACGAGTCCACAAGACTCTTAAGCTTTCAATAGTGATTTTTCTAGCATACCGCGCAAATAAGCATTTTTTTTTTTTTTTTTTTTTTTTTTTCTTTTAGAGAGTTGATCCTAATCCAACTAACTGGGGATTGACAGGAGTGAGAAAACTGAATGTGTGTAATAAAAGAATCAGAAATAGCCATCTTTGGAATACTTTTCAGTTTTCATCAGTTGTGCCTTTAAACGATTAACTTCTTCTTAGATACATTAGCCAGCGAATGCTATTAAATAAATATATCATCATTCTTTCTAAGATTTCAAATGTTTATAGTACGATAACTGCAAAAAATGCCACAAAAAGATGCATAAAAGTTTACAAAAAATCTCTCCAAGTTTTCATTCCACCATGTAATTGTAGATTAGTCTGTAGATTAGCCACTATGGGGCTTTTATTTTGATCACAAAAGCGCTGTTAAGTGTAGCATACCTAGACATGCGTAACAGTCACTAATGCCACGATTCAGCGAAGATTTCAATTATCAAACAAGATGAAACTCCCGTATTTTCATGAGGGCGTATACATTTAACTCAATATTGAACATCTGGTGGTTGGATTAGATATACTTCTCGAAATCCTCTTCTCTTCTTCATAACTTTCATTCACACTCGCCTGCAATAACCCACGTGGATTTTTATTACAGTGCATTATTAAAATTAATAATTACGTTATATGATTTTTCCGTATTAATAATTACGTTATATTATTATAATAATCACTTGTTCGTGTTCCTTTTTCTACATAATTTAAGGATGCTATGGTGAATGACGGATCACGCAAGATTCACTAGCGTCATTCTGAGTTAATATGTACCAAAGATATATGCCATTGTACCATAGGTAAGGGAGGGAGTGGGACACATGCCTGTTTACCTCTGTTAAACATCAGGCGTCCCCGTCCTCCGTCACCTGCCATTGTACCAACAGACACCAAATTAGGGCTAACTTGTAATGTGCATTTAAACTTGAAAAAATTTAAAAAGATGCTTAGTGTAAAGATATATATCAGCCCATGACAGAAAGTGTTATATAAAAATATCCTAATGCTAGGAAATTAGGACAATAACTGTAATAATATTAATATTTTATTTTATTCTATTGTACGTTTTATTTTTAGGACGTCGAGCTTTTCAGTTATATTGGTGGCTTTCTTGGCATCTGGCTTGGAGTGTCATTGGTAGAAGTAATGGATCTTCTTGAAGCTTTGCTACGTGTGTTTACTTACGTGTTTAGAAAAAGAAGAAATCCTGCATAGTTACTACTAATAACAACGATAATGTTACTTAATATTCAGAATGCCTGTTGCTGTAGATTTATGATGAACATTGTGCAATTTTATTCAATATTTATATAACTTGTATTTTCGTATTTCAAAATACGTAAGCGCAGTTTTCAATCAAAACATAAAATCTAAAATGTGAACATTTTGATTGCTGTAACGAACATCCATCTTTTTTTTTTTTCAATTTTATTTTATTTTTTTTCATTTTTTTTCCGTATTGTAATTTTATCAAATTAATTTTAATTCCTTTTTTTTTTGTTACCTCTACATTCAAGACACTGAATTTTATTCTTAAATTTTGCTTATTACCCAGTTACTTAATACGGCGTAAATATTATTTTCTTTTAGTAATTTGTTTCCTAATAAAATTTCTGTATAAAATTTTTAAATAAAGATATTTCAATAATATGTGTTGCAGTTTACTTAGTACATCAATAATTCATACTTAATACCTGCTGAAATTTATACCAATTTCAGTCCTAATTTAAGTGTAAAATATAGCATTCATTAGAAAATAATAAGGCGTTAATGAAACATGAACATTTCATGAAAAAGCTGCAAAATTTTTTCTGTTCTAAGTAAGGGATTAAAATTATTTTTTATGATCTTTTCTGTCAATACATCGATCAGTTTAATTAATATTTAATTAAAACTCTTAACTCTGGGCAGCATGGAGAGGTCATATGCTGGGCTGCTTTTTAATTTTTGATTTAAAACTCATGTCAGCTTCGCAATGAATTTCATTTTAGCAGTTTCAGCTACTATAAAATCTTATTTTTGTTCAGAGATATATTCAAATGAACCACTTCTATTTATTTCTGAATGGGACAGATAAGGAAGTAAAAATAATAATTAATTATTCCGGTAAATTAATCTCAATAATACTCGTAATGACATAAAATAGTTCTGGGTTTAACCCTTCGCCAGCTTGTTCAATTTCTTTGACAGGCATTTAAGAATTAGAAAATCGTCTCGTTCGCTTTTAAGACGGCCTATTAGTCAATTATAATAATAGGCCTATCAGCCTATTAGTCAGGTACACTGAAAGCTAGGATTCGACTTCAGGAGAGCGCACAGTGATTATGTTAATAAATAAAGCTCCAAATACCATATTTTTATTACAATTAAGCCTGAACTAAAGGAGTGAACAATAATTCATCTCTAACTTGGATTGTCTGGTTAGGAGCCAATTTCTCTCCATGGCCGCCTTTAAGATTGAGAGAAGGAGTTAAAAAGTTTCTTTTCTTCAATTATACCATAAAAAAAGTGTAACGTTTTTATGGTATAATTGTCAACATATCACTTCTATAATCTAAGTTCCCAGGTTCATTCTCTGCGAGGAAATAAGGAATTTTTCAAACTATCCTGTTCTACCCAGTTTACCACGATATCATCTTTTCAATTCTTTAAAGGATTTGATGTTGGATATTAAAGAAACGCAAAGAAATAAAATTACAAAATGAAATCTTCTAGGCTCATCTTGAAGTTTAACAGAATTAACCAATTGCTAACTTGCAATTCTTAAACAGTTAATTATACTAAACATCAAATTATAAACATCAGTTAGTCACAGAACAGCTAAAGAAACATTGCTATAATAAAGCATCAGTTAACTAAAACTACAGCCAAAAACTTGAATTCCATGCTGGATCTTATTAATTAATGATCTTCAAGTTTTATGAATTTGAATATTATTAAAGAGACGGTTTACTGTAGTTAACGTTCCTTTTCAACAACGAGTCCAAAATGTCTCAGATATTATACCTTTTATGCCTTTTTACTACATCTGTGCAATGTTATTTTTACATCAGGTATGATGGAACAGGATAGACTACGATCATTTTATTCGACATAGTTTTTGAATTGTAAACTTCAGAAGGAAAAGACCATGACGCTTCCACACAGCAATCCACAAATTCTTCTAACTTCGTAGTAAATTTTCTTGCCACTCAAATCTGCATAAATTCTGGAATGAGCGAAACTAGTGGCGAACTCATACAACGAAAAATGTAAATTAAATGTAAATGAATATGATTAATGGCAATGAAAGATGTAAATTAAATAATATTTGGTTGGTAAAACTTAAACATAAATGTGACATTGTATTTTAAAATTAACATAATTGTTCTAACTCCAAATTTGCTGATCTTGTAATCATGATTTCCTTCGAAGTCATAAAAGTGCTAAATACATTTCCAAATATTTGTTTCAAAAATTACAAAAATTTTAACAGATAAAATTCTCTTCTTTCAAATGATCGTAAATTAAAAAAATCTGATGTGTACAACACATATTAAATTATTACGGAATATTAAATTATACGCATTTTTTCCTGCATTTCGTTTAAAATTATTTCCTCGAATTTCATTAGAACTGTATTTCTCATTCAATTAATTCAGTTCTCAGTTCACTACAGGGCAAAAATACATGAAATTTCAAGATATATTTATTAAAAACTGAAAAATATAGGAAAATATAAAACAAATACAGTTAAAACAATTTAAAGAACTTTTTTTTTTTTTTTTTTTTAATTAGAGTTGCTACTTAAAAACAAGCAATTCGGCCAGTGGGCTACAAGGCAGATTATTCGACAAAAGATACAGAAAACGTAGAAACTGACTTAACTTTTTATGGACGCTATGTTGAGTCAATATGTGGGATAATTTAATTACTTAAATTGTAATTAAAGAATGGATTAAGCTTGATATAATTCACAATAATAAAAGAAGACGTTATCTTTGTTGATGCGAAGCTTAGTTTCTCTAGATTGACAACAAATCCACTATTCTGCTAAGTTTCAAATGTAAACAAATATGGCTGCTATGGTAAAAAATTAGGCTTAGCCGCACAAAAACAACTTTTAATTTTTTGATAATTCTACAACTAATTAAGATAGATTAATACGCCGAACAAATATTAATTTAAAAGTCAACATATAACGCTGAATTTTGTTGTTTGTCTTCTAATTTAGTTCTCCAACTAATGCATGAAAGTTAACTAAAGGCATAAAAACTTTAACTGGAAGATAAGAAAAGCATAATTCAATCATTTTTAAAGCAAAAAATACACAATTTAACAACATATAAGAATAAAAACACTGAGCTCAATGAGCTAAGTGTGTGTGTATAAGTAAATAAATTATATATATATATATATACTTTTGGTGCGGCCGATTGCCACCAAAAAGGCAGGTGCAGAACTACATGCTATAGCAGTCCTAAATACAAAATTTCAACGTTCTTGAAACTACTCGTTTTTGAGTTATGCCAGATACATACATACACACAAACGTTCGTACAGGCGCCACGAAAAAAGTCTCTTCTGAATCCATTTTAAATTAGTTTTATAATTCATTTTGGGAAAAAGAGTCTGTTGTTCTGTCCTTACGTACAGATGTCATGGAAAAGTGTCGTTAAATTGCATTCGATAGCAGTCAAAATGGATATTTTGATGAAATATGGTACCTGGAATTTTTCGTGATTACAATACTTCCTTTACTTCGTAGAAGTCAGTAAAAATATTTATGCAGTTTCATTATTTTTATGCTATTTGTAATTTCAAGCACTGCATAGTTTATACCTTTTAAAATTACTGTCTCTTAAAGGGACACCAGACTTGAGAAGTCAAGTTTGTATTCAGTGATTAAGACTTGAGAGCATTACTATGTCTAACAGCACACATACATATTTCTAAAAAGTTATTATTATTTCTAATTTGTACAATAAATACTAAAAATATTAAATGTGCTATAAACTAAATATCAGACTGAGGCTACAAATGTCCCAGAACAAATATACTGCAAATATGTTTAGTCTGAGAACTTAGGTCTGTTTAAGCCAGATATTTCTAGCAACTGTGAAGTAAAACTGCCACTCTATAGGGAAATTTAAAAGTACCTCTGAATTCAGATTACTTACATAACTATGAATATGATATGAACGCACACATTGACTTATTTTATTGCACTACGATATGAAAGCACACATTGCAAGAAAGAAAGTACAAGAAAATGATTATAGATTACTTGCAATCAATGCACATAAAATAAATACTAAAAAGCTATAGAATAAACCATGTTTGAACATCGATGAGTACAGGGAAGCATAACGAAGCAAATGAAAACAGAAAATAAAGCATTAAATAAATATTTACAGGTGCAAGACACTTATTTTTACATAAATTATCAATATTTTATACTTTATTCAATTATGTGCTGTTTCTAATTTAATACTCTTTGCTTGATAAGCAAACAGCAAACATAATAATATTTTCGGAATACGCATCCCAATCTCCTGCTACGGATAATCCCTTAGCAGGAAAAAAGTATCACGCTGTCCTAGAAGAAGTACGTCATCCGATGACAACCATAATTTGGTCTACCATAATAAGCTGCTTCTTCCCGTTTTGGAGTTAAGGCTGTTCTCCGAACCTTATCCCAACTATTAAATGAATTATTCTGTATGCCTGCTTATTTTTTTATGGAAATACTTGGCATTTTCAAGACACAAAATGTGCTTCAAAGAACTTTGAAATATTAGTACAAACACATTAATCAATTAAATTGAAATAAATAATGGGATGTAACTTAAAAGACAGCAATAATTAATTGTAAGAGATTTAGATTTAAACATTTGCACTCACAAATGATTTATCAGATTTTGTAAGGTTTTATTTCATAAATAACTTTGATTTTCAAATATGGCATTTGAACCTATAAACCTGTGTGGATACTGAAAAAGTGATGAATATATTAGAATATTGTCATTTTCAGCAAGTTTTCTTATTGAATAATAAATTCTGACAGTCCTATGCTATAAGAATAGGGTCTAAGTTTGCCTAAAAATTCCTCTGTTAAATAGAATTTAAGTAATTTCTGTAGCCCTTTTGTCAGTACACTAAAGATTTTTAACTAATTACTCGTCCTCGCTTGTAATTAAAACCATCATTAAATCCCTATTTTATCTAATCATTTCCTGAACATTATCATGTATAAAGATTGACCTCGTCTTTGTAACTGATAATTATTACTTACAAATTATTATCTTGCTGGTGAACTATTAACAACATTCGCTCTCACTACCACCTGCGTTACGGAAATCGGCGTAAAATGCTGATACCTGGGCTGATTTCGCGCATGCGCGAACGTAGGTGTTGTGAATAGCCTGTTAGCTATTCGCACCGTCGGTGCGATTACCCACTGCGTCTATTCAAGGAGGGAGGGTTCGCAGTTTCCTCCACTATCGGAGAATGAAACTCCACCGAACAAGCGGCGTCCATGTTTGTAACTTCAAAACATTGTATTACGGCAGTGAAACGGACGT